AAACTTTGTAGTTGGTTAGGGTGTAATGGGCTAACATATGCACATTTTTACTCCCTCTTGGAAATTGTAGTAGTCTTCATACTCGTCTTTAAATATTAGACGTTCCCTCAGCTATTTTACAAGCTACAGCAATCTCAATGTTGTATGTGTTAGAGTAAAGCAAGGGCAAGCAAGGGCCATCACTCAATTAGCTTTTTTGTGTGCGACACGTGAAATACTCTGTCATCAAAAAGTCGCCAGAACCTGAACGCACGAATGAGGGCCAAAATGGTGAGTTTTTTCTTCGTACACAGAAATCTCTGCGCAGAAAAGATTACAGGTATCGTTTTTAGTCATAGCGTAATTTCTGGAAGGCTACTGAACGATGGCTAACATATACAGAATGCGGAAAAAGTACTGTCCCTTGAAATGACCCCGCAAAAACGACATCAAAAAACTATTTTTTATATAATTTATATATTGCTATAACGACAACAGTCTAAAGAATAACGTATATGAAAATCATTCAATTCGGTCCCTTTTCTGGCTATACATTCGCGCAAACGGCAGGGAAATCATCAGCGGTGTGCCGCAAGTATTCTACGTCGATTTCTTTCCATGCTTTCTTCAGCGCGCGCTTCAGCGACTCTAAATTCCTCTGTGATGTAGCACAAGCCTTCGCCTCCAAGAACCCCCATACGGAGTAGTCTAATGGGTTAAGATCTGGGCTAAAAGGGGGCTACTCTTGAGCCGATATGAAGTCGCAAAGATTTCTCTCACACCAGTCCTGGACGAACTTCGCCTTGTGGGCTGGGGTAGAATCCTGTTGAAATATACGGTCGATTACCAAAGTGCTCTCTGATCCAGGGGACAAGATGGCGCACGAGAACATCATTTGAATACCGTTCTTGGTTATCGACGAAAATCAGAGGCGACTTCCCGTCGCTCGTGACGAAGGCGCAAACCATTACAGATGCCGGATGCGCCTTCTTTTTACCGTCTTCTTGCTCTGAGTCGACTTCTCTGATTTTGGTAATATCACCCTATCGTTTTGGCTGTTGTGCGCGGCTTCGATGGTGAAAATTTTTTCGTCTGAAAAAATGAAGTTCAAATGACGGTCGTTTGCGGCGCACCTTAGTAGACGGCGACATCTTTGAACTCTCGTTCTTTTGTTTGCTTCCGTCAAATCGTAGGACTTCTTCATACGGTAGCTGTACATCTTCAGTTTTTCTTCCACTATATTTCGGACCGATTTTTCGTTTATCTGCAACTCCTGGGCCATTTTTCGCATGGACCTCTTGGGATTGCTCTTCACTTTCTTTCTAATGACGTCCAGGTTCCTCTGTGTAACCGCTGTTCTGGGTCGACCGCTTCTTGGGCGGTTCATTTCCGCCTACAGACCTGTAGCGGTCAATTGTTCTTCGCACGGTTTTGGACTCACGGCGAGAGTTTTCGCGATCTTCTGTACGTCCCATCCAACGAGATGCAGCCCGATGATGTTGGTGCGCTGCGGATGGGGAGCCGTCATTTCGTTGAACCGCGAGTTTTCGAGGCGAGATTTGGCAGAATGATAGAACCAGCTTTACTTTAGCTATTGATAAAAAATGTCAAAAAACATTAGAAGAACATGTTAGTTTTTGATGTCAAATCAAGAGGGACAGTACTTTTTCCGCACCCTGATGTCTGCTTATCCTTATGTGCTGGCATTACTTTCTCAATCTAGACGGCTTTAGAGGACACTCCGTGAAAATGTTGGAATTCTTGTTCCCAACTTATGTGCCTATTTCAAATATCAAAACATCATTTCTATAGACGTTCAAACAGCCATTTTCAAAACAAAAAAGTTTATATTGAGAAAAAGTACATTTTAATAAAAAAAAAAGTCAAATCGGACAGAACTTCTGGAACACCTAATACGTAACTGGCAGTTATAAATACGTTCAAAAAATTCATACATTCTACATCTAGTATCTCTATCATTATCAAAAAGGCTACCATTTACACAGATCTAGGATAGCAAGAGTATGTACATATTTGATCAATTTTACGCAAAAAAACTCACAGCTCAAAGGTATTCCTCCTCAAAAGTAACTATTATCAACACACTGTTATTTTCGAATTTTAAATGCCTGGAAAGAATTCTACTCACACATAAATACAGTTAATCATGCCCTCGATACATAGAGTCATGTGTAACCTTCACTTTGAGGGCTATGAGAGGAGACCTTCGCCTGAAAAATAGAAATCATCCGGACAACCCCCGGATTTTATGACCATGACCACTTAAAATGAATGTGGATGAAGCAAGTATAGAGATTAGTATCTTTAGAGTATCTTAAAATAGAAATGTTTCTTCTTTATAGCCTTTTTTATGTTATAAACGAGCTTTTCGCGTGAATTTCCACACTATTAGAGCAACATAATTCACTTAACCTCTTTTCAGACTACAATTAAGTGTCAGAAGTTCAGGAAAACTGTTGTAATCAGCAAAAACGAAAAACTGCGCTCAAGTCTTGCGCAGAAAGTCGCACACGAAAATCTTGATTTATCGCATTAGCGAGTGATTTTTAACATTTGGGACGTTGTCAGTGCTCCTGGTTGTTCATGACGATCAGATTGATATATAACATTGCAGGTTTTCGTTAAGACCCCGCGAAAATTTACGACCAGAACCAAATGCCCCGTCGGCTCTGGCCTATCTCCGCTGCTCGTCTCGTCTGAGAAATCTGGCAAAGGTCGTGGTTTTAAAAATCTCTTGTTTTTTCTCTACTTCATCTCTTTTCACGCGGTTTTTTCATGCATTCGATAGATCTTACTTCATTTCACAATGCAGACAGCGTCCCAGAGCTTATTTCTTCATTATGCCACACTTTTTCATAAAAATCTATGAGAAGTGCGTTTTTATTTACCTTGTTCTCTTTCATAGTTTTTGCAGCAATTTTCTCCAGCTTATGCCATTATTGCTCAAAATGTGAGCGCAACAATTCAGACGACATCCCAGGATACAGGGACGTCAATGCGGGGATGGTTAAAGAAAGCGTCAAAAACTAGGTTTGGCTTAAATGTGCATTTCGATTTAGTAATAAAAGAAACTTTGCTTTCTCATGATCAATTCCTTGATAACTACCACTTTCAAAACATGATTCTTTTTGAAACAATCTATTATATCTATTATATGAAGAATCGTAATGTCAATTCAAAAACATCAAATAGCGGGACGCGATGAGGTCAAGCGCGCGAATGCAATCTAGCACCTTTATTACTGCTTTACTAGCCACAAGAAGGAAATTAGCTTTTCCTCGTTTTTCCAGTGTTGTGGATTGCCTGGCCTGAGCGAAAAACCTGCATTTCGAAAAAAAGCCGCCAAATGGAAGATTTCAAACTCATTGCATCATTTTTATCAGTTTTTAGAGGTTTCTTGTGCTTTTGCTGTTTCGCGTCTTTTTTCTTCCCTGATTTTCTATAAACAACATTCACTTTTTTGAAGGACAGATATTGAAACAACCTTCACTTTTGACGCCCTGTCTCTGGACTATCGAAGGTATGCATTTAATCGCGAATTCGTCAATGGCAGATTCAGAAATGTAGTATCGTTCATATAAATTGTGGTCAGCCAAAATTCAAAAACAAAATATAAATAATATATTCAATACAAAAGATAGCGCACTGGAAATAAACAAGTCGTGAAAGTCCGTTCTTAATTTTCAAGAAGATCACATGTCAAAGAAGGGCATTCAAAACATTAGAGTTGAGTTTTACAACTTTTTTCAAATAATCTTTTATATATCAAAGTAGATCCTCCCAGACGAAAAGAAAAACTTCGTCTAAGAAGGGACAAACGGAAAAGAACATGCAAATCGTTTCTCTTTTATGTTATAAGATCTTTACTTGCTGATCTCAAAAGCCTCAAAACACTCACAGCCGGATTACGGTGAGACCAGCATTGCTTTTGTACTTTCAATAATATACGGTTGGTCTCCTGCGAGCTTTGCTAGGCAGTATTTAAAAGCAAAATCTGTCATTTAAAAAGAAGGTTATTCTATGTAATGTGAAAAGCTGAAGTTGCAAGAATTTGATCGATGGACATCAAATAGCCTTTTCACTAGCAAAAATAATAATAATGGTGAATTTGTTATCAGTTTGAACTGAACTAGCAAATTGCTTTCTGTGCAAACAATGAATAGACGATCTACTTTACTTTGTAAGAATAAATCTTTTTTGCTATCCTTACGATTAACGTATACTTAACTGTCAAATTGGTGGCTAAGTATTGTCAAAGTTGATGTACATAGTAATCCATTCTGCTGTCCGCCTAGCACGATAGCAATCGCTTAAACATGCATCTAGTCAAGGATGCTTGACATGCGCATACCGCAGCCAAGACGTCACTTGCTACATGAAAGTGACTAGCATTAGGGTCATATCGCAATGTTGGGAGAGGCGGGGATAGAACATTAAACAGAATATTTCAAATTTACAGGTATTCGTAGAGTTGTAGAATAAATAGTAGAGATGAGTAGCAATCTGTACTTTGTCCAAATGCATTTTGAATGTTCTTTCTTTGAGAAGCCTACTGCTGTCCATTGTTATTTTGTTTTCTGCAGCTCATTTTTTTCTCTTGTACTTGAGGACAATTGTATGGTCCGTTGCCCATCTAGATTATCTTAACTTCTCATCGATCATAGGTGAAATGAAAAGTCTACACCAAAGACACTGTACCGCAAGTAACTTTGAGATCCGTTGTCAAAGTTCACAACTGAAATTTCAAGGGTAGATAAGACATTCTTGGAAGATAGGGTTACTCAGCCGAATGTCCAGTAGTAAACGTGATCCACGTGTAAGCGAAACAAAGCGCTTGATAGAGGATGCAGCTAGATATGAAATTTCATGTATTAGCCAGATTATATCCGCACTTTCGCTTCAGGAAAATCTCGAGAAGCCATAAGCCTAGCGAGTGCATTGTGTAGAGCTTATTATGTTGCAGTTCCTGAGACGACACCCAGTGCCGACACAGATACGTCGCCGAGATAGTGCATAGTGCGAAGCAAACGGTCCACCAGCGAGGCGAAGTCCACTGCCTGCCCCGTGCACTGCCCGTCATCCCAATGCTAGAGGATGAACCATCGATATGGCGATTGGGATGAGTTTCAGAAATTCGGTGAGTACAGAATTCATAGTGCTATGCCTTTTAGGAGAATGAATCACTCTTTCTACTCTATTCGGCACTTTTTATCTATTCGGCACTTTTTATGAGTTTAAAACGTTTTCTATCTTATCTTCTTGATGGGATCTCTTTATCGCAATGATGAAGTTGTAGCGGAACAAATAGACATTCAGAATTCAAATGTTCCTCTTCACCTACTTCTATACCTTTTGTTTGACCATGAATTTTTTGACATGTCTTGTCTTATCCTAGCTCGGCAGCCACTGTTGTATTATTATAGTTGTCCCATCAGTCTTTTCATATTCGGAGCTTCACACTGATATTTCTCAGAAAGAGCAAATACAAGGATGTAGATTTTGTCGCAGTATTTCTGAGTATAAGCTATATAATCGCATTTATGCATGGAACACGAAATCGCTACAGGAGGAACAAAAATTCAGCACATTATTCTTTCTTGATTTTTAGCCATCAGAAAGTTGCAGGAAGTGCATGTATATAGAAAGTATATATGCGTGAGCAAGTAAGAAATTTGAAAAATCGTTTTGAATTGAGATACGATTACTTTTGTTTTTTCGGGAAATCGGATTTTCATTACTTTGGCTAGAAAAGCTAATGCGGACCAAGCTTTGTGCGAATTTTTGAAGGCCATCTTATAGAGCCTGCTTTGATCTATCTAATGATACCCCAATTCATTAGGAGTATAAGAAGGACTGACGTATGTCGCTGAAAAGTCGGATATGAGAAGATTTATGGGACAACCTTATATATGGCAGTGTTTTATTTTTATGACTAAGTTGAAACACGAATCACACATTTTGTACTTTACACGCAAATGTCTGATAGTGTTGGTAGCTCTTGAGACAACTCAACATTTCTGCAATCTTCATCTCATGAAAAGGATTGCGGAATTACTGTCTCGGTTAGTCAAATGAAACCTATCGCTTACCCTTTCTACCTGAAACCAATTTCTCATTTAAGATGTTGAAGTTGAGATTCTCGGATGCACAATTCAAGATTCACAACAAGGAAAGATCTTGACACGTTCTTGAGCATTTCAAGCCTTGCAGAGTGTCCGGAAAAAAGCGTGCACACCGTTTGATTGCTAATAGCTCTCTTGCTCCGATGTCTTTTGTCAATCTTCAAAAACCGTTCTGTGAAGTTGCTTCAGCTTAGATTCATAGTCTGGAGAAAATCTCCAATCTCCCTCCTTACTGTAGGATTGCGGTACGATCAGCTACAGCGCCATTGTGATGTAGGCCGAATGGTAAAAATTCCAAAAAATTCTGGTGATTTTTCGAGTATGCTGATATCACTACACAACATCTCACATTCTCTGAGCTTTCTTAGTGGTATAATCACACTTTTGAAGGACACTGGAAAAGAGATGTAGAGAAGAAGTGTAATTTGTGAATAAGCATGATCGTAAAGTGCGAATGTTGTATCTGAAACCATCGGCTTTGATTAGCTTAGTATAAGAATTTTTGGCTTGTCTGGTCTCTTTTTCAATAAAAAATAGAGTCTCAAAAACTTAGAACCCTTTTCACAGTTCCTAGCGTAACCTCACAAGAACAGAGGAAGTTGGAGTTCTCTTCGTACGGTGAGTGAATCTGATGGAGTTTCTTTGTACGAGTGAATCTAAGTTGAGGCCAGGTCTACATACTGGTAGCTTAAGATCTGCAAGAAAATAATCGAAGAAGGAGGGTTATCGATGATCAGACAGTGGGCGCACTTTTTGGGATACCCTGTATGGCATAAACATATTGTATTGTATTAATTGCATATATGCACGGTTTCGGTCTACTATGTCATCAAAATGCTAAAATAGTGAGCGTTTATGAGAATAGAAAATTTCTGAATCACAAGAACACGCTTTTGAGAATCCTATTTTGTCGCAAGTCCTGTGATTTCTCATCTCTGTCTTATATCTGATGTCGCGTCTTCAGCAAGGAACAAACTCTGATTATCTGTTTGGACAGCATTCATCCATTCATCTTTCTGGTTGACTACGTTTTGATTGTGTTTCCTCACGATTGCTTATAAATAGCTAGATATTTGTCCCAGCTCATGCTTCGTCAGTGAAACTTGCAATTGGCGATAGTTATTTGAAGTTATCAGTCATATACTAATGTCATTTGCATCGAGCTGAGATGCGAATAGTTTGAGTAATCGCGTCAAAGTCAACCATAAGCTCTAAATTGTATTCAACCTCTCTGCCACCTCGATTTGAAAGTCAGAAAGCATATAATCTTTCTGGAGAATGTTTTGCTTCTGCTTTGCTGTTTACTAAATATTAATCAATTCTTTACATTGCTAGCTTTGTGATCAGAAAACGACTATTTTATAAGCTTCTCCTCATGTGGAATTTCAAAATTGTTTTGTAGAAATAAAACCCACACAGATCAAGTTCTACCTGTTCCAGACCTAGTCCGTTTTCCAAGCGACTCCTCAAATCCGCCACATTATCAAGAATTCCATGCTCGTGCCTATCTTCTGATATTTTGTCTAGCCTTTGTGCCTTTGGCGCGGCACTATGTACCGATATTTCTAGGCTGGTATGAGCCACCATTTTTAATAAGTAAGTCATGAAGTGCGCAGTTTTGATTCAGAAATCTGTTCCTCTTTATTATAGAAGATGACACTACTCCCATGGATCTGCGAATTCGTTTTATTATTGAACCGCACATTAGAACAACTCTGAAGGTGTTAATACTAGTAAACTCACTACCACACCACTTCAAAATAAGGCAACGTATCCGCGAATCCTGGGCAATGAAGGACCTGTACGACGAGGAGAGCACCAAAGTGATGTTTTTCATCGGAAAACCAGTACGTTGCTTTTTTTATGCATGCTTGGAGCTCAGTCGAAGATGTTTCGTAAGTGTTTAAGCTTTTGCTTTCGATACAAGCCCGGCGGGCTTGGATAGCACAACGTTGCTTCACTGCTAGATTTGTCTTTGTAGTCACGAAAGCGGCGCTGCGAGATCTCCGCGCAAAGATTGTAAGCTTGAAGAAAACTAGTGGATTTAATCCATAGCATGCAACTCTAGGTCCCCTGGGGGACATGAGACAAAGCTCTCAACATTCTTTTTTTGGGTTGAATTGCACTTTTTCTAGCGCTCACAAGAAGAAGAAGAATTGCTGGCGATTGAAGAGGGTCGCTATCATGATGTGATTGTGACTGAAATCGAAGAGGACTATTATTCACTTTCCATAAAAACCTATGCTATGTTACTGTACAAAGATACAAGGTGCAGTCGGCTGCAGCGGAAGGGTTAAGTTCGCTAGAAAATAGGAGTTTTCAGATTCCGAAGCGCTAAATGTATGGTGAAAGCCGACTCGGACAATGTATTGATCGTAAGGAACTATGAGGTCCTCTGCGATGAAACAAGTATGGTTCGTTATGGTTGCTCAATAAAGCAACTCGTACATCTGACGCTTATCATTGCTACATATATCTTTCCAACAACTTGTGATGAGAAAAAAATACTTACAGAGTGTTCGCAGAACAAAGTCTATAAATTAGGTGTTAGTAAGTTTGCCCGTATTTTCCAAATTTTTACCAATATTTCGTGTCAATCGGTGAAAATTACAGGGTGTCTCAAAAGTCTTGTAGCCTAATTTTGCACTGCTTTAACTCAACAATCACTGGTGATTTTGATGTCAAATATATACCACAGAATCCTCCAATCATTCTTCGTAAACTACATCCTTGAGGGTAAAAAATGATTTTCATGTTTGACTGAAAAAAAAATCATCAAACCATTTCTATCTCAAAACGCAAAAAGCTATTTCCTAAAAGTTTGAAATTTATTCCGCTACAAAAATTTGGCACACCGCGGTGCAAATTTATATCCACAATATAGAGGAGGCTTTGCATTACTATCACTATAATGGCTACATTTAAAAATCTATTTCGTCAAGAGAGGCGAGAAAATATCTGGAAATTTTCAATCCGTGCCACTGCAACTATGTCTTTGAAATTAGTTTCAAATCTGTAGAATTGCAGCAGTCACTATTGGAGTGATATCCTCTTCGCATGTTTCCTAGATGGGAATCTTATGCACGGATGACGAACTTGGTTTTGAAACACATAGCCGATTTTCTGTTTTCATTTTCCGCAAATGTGTCCAAAACTCCACCATGAGATCCACATGTGCCTGCATACAAATTTCCGTAATTTTAACCATAAAACTCTCAAAGTTTTTCAATCATGGTATGATGTAGCTGAAAGCTTGCTCTATCATACAGCACATTTTCTAAGCGATAGGATTTATTTTCGTGAAAAATTGGGACAAAATTGATGATGACTGCCTGCGTGCCTCGGCAGTGGTAATCGCCAACGGTTTGAAAGCTTCCGTTATCAAGGAAAGATGCTACCACGAAATTCGGATGCTGTGATATATTTGCTACATTTTGAATAATATGTGCACCAAACTTTATATCCCTATGTTGTTCCGTTCTGTTTTTATCAGAAAAAATACTAGGCTACAAGACTTTTGGGACACCCTGTATTTATGATTCCGAGAGCTTCAGTCTGTGTTTTGATATGTGACTTACGGGTCATGGCACAAAGGTGGACATTTGAGAAACGCTTTTGCGTTCGCTGACTTTGAACTATTTTCATTCATTCAGAGCGAGCTCCTCCCTGAGCACACCGGCCTCGTTGCTATTTTATGCCCCAACAAGGAGGAAAAAACTTTACGTATAAAAAAGATTATTATAGGAATTTTGAAAGTTATGTAAAGTTTTATCAACCTCAAGGCAATAGGGGTGCCCACTATACTTTGGAATACTCGAAATTTTTTTCGAATGAATATATTGGAAAATCAGAAATATCGAATGATCAAATTTCGAATATTTTCAAAAACAATGTCGAAAATCCGAATATCGAGTATTTTCGAAAATCAAAAATTGCGACTAATCGAGTACCAAATATTTTCGAAATACGAGAATTCTCGAATAATCGAAAATCGAATATTTTGAAATGCAAAAATTCGGATTAAGTGAATAATTTGAGAAAAAAATTCGGATAAACGAATGCTTTGCATCGACTATGTTGAATACTCAAGCAACTTCTGATCGAATTAGCACAATTAAGGACTCCGTATAATAGCAACTTGAGCAACAAGAGATATTTGATGTTATAGCAATCAAAAATGTGACGTTGTATGCAATTATTCGATTACACGAAAATGTCGAATAATCGAATATTGAAAGTAATACTCGAAAGTTCGTATATTCGAAAATCAAAATTTCGAATGACCATATATCGAATAAATTCGAAATTGAGAAATTTCGAATAGGCGAATATCGATTATATTCGAGATTATGAAACTCTCGAATAATCGAACTTCGAATAAATTTTATTGTATACTTTACTCCAATAGTCGAACAATTATTCGATTCTGTTTAAAGTATTAGGTGTCCCATAAGTCTTTTCATTTTTGATTCGCTATAATAAGTCACACACTTCGTATTCTAATTATACATCGGAATACCATTCGATAGAGCAAAGCAAGCTCTATAAGATGGCGTTTATGCTTTTGCACAAGCTTTGGTCCATCTCGAGTTTTAAACCAAAATCTAAAAAGTTTCGGATGCCCAGAAAACCGAAAATTTTTCATATCTTCGTTCAGAAAAATCCTACAAACCTCTAACTCGCTCACGCATATACATTCCACATCAGACATTCATATGTGCTGTTACTGTATTTTTTTTATCAGCTAAAAATCAAGAAACCGAAAATTTCTATGTTTTTACCGAAGTGATGCTGTGCTGTTCTTACACTAACAGTTGTATAGTACGAGCTCTTAGAAGTACTAACGTAGACTTTTGGCTCTCTACATGCTCTGGTTTCCGAGATATGTTGATTTGAGCGTGAAAAACCCGAGTGAAGAAAGCTAAATTTGATATTTCTCGGGAACTAAAGCTCATAGAGAGCTAAGAATTCAGGGTTGTACCTCTAAAGGCTTGTAGTATACAACTGTTAGTGTAAGACCAGCACAGCATGACTTTGGTAAAAACATGGAAGTTTTTGGTTTCTTGATTTCTAGCTGATAAAAAGTACAGTAACAACACATATGAATGTCTGATGTGGAATGTATATGCGTGAGCGAGTTAGAGGTTTGTAGGATTTTTCTGGACGAAGATATAAAATTTTTCGGTTTTCTGGGCATCCGAAACTTTTTAGATTTTGGTTTAAAACTCGAGATGGACCAAAGCTTGTCAAAAGCATAAACGCCATCCTATAGAGCTTGCTTTGCTCTATCGAATGGCATCCTGATGTCTAACTAGAATACGAAGTGTGTGACTTATTATAGCGAATCAAAAATGAAAAGACTTATGGGACACCTAATACTTTAAACCGAATCGAATAATTGTTCGACTATTGGAGTAAAGTATACAATAGAATTTATTCGAAGTTCGATTATTCGAGAGTTTCATAATCTCGAATATAATCGATATTCGCTTATTCGAAATTTCTCAACTTCGAATTTATTCGATATATGGTCATTCGAAATTTTGATTTTCGAAGTGTGTGACTTATTATAGCGAAAACTCAGAAATGAAAAGACTTATGGGACAACCTAATATAATGCCCATCTAATTCGCAAAATTTGGCGCTCTTCTTTCATATTATTTTCCATAACTTTTCATACTTTGTCATTTCCCTATTGCGCATATGCGTAGAGATTGGGAGCCAAATCGCTACATGTGCGCTGCAAACGAGTCATTCTCAACTGTTCATCAGTGAATTATCAGAAGAAGCTTGCCACAACTTTTAGTCGCCCAATATTTTCACAATACTCTGCACTACGCTCTTCTGACCCTTGTCCGTTTTTACTCCAAATTCGGAGTCACATCGTTATGCGCGTGCTACAAACGAGGCAATGAATTACTACTATGTGAAAAAAGGATTTTTGATGACGCGTGAGCAAGATCGTGTTTTGCACGTTAGTCGCGTAGCAACTTGTTGAAGTCAATGGCTCAGCAAAATGGACCCTTGTCTAATTTTGGTAAACTGAATTAGTAGATCCTCAAGTACACCATAGTCCTAACCGGGTGTATGACTTTATGAACGATAGCATGTGCCAGCCGCCAGCTGGGTACCGTACGCGTTGCGCTGATTGCTCCGCTTCCTTGTTGATTAGCCTAGGAATGCGTTGCAACCATTGGAAAACTCTCTAATATTTCGTTCATGCTTCTAGTTGGTTGCAATTTGGATAACAGTAGATTTTAAAATTTCGATTAAATTAAAATCAGTTTTTAGGGTTCTTTTTTCCATTATAAATTAGTTCGCAAGCTCTTTTCAATGTATTTCAGTTATTTGTTCCTAGTAGGTTTGTCCAAACTGATTTTTCAATGTAAGTATGAGGAAATTCTCTCATGCTTGAAAAAGCGTTTTTTATTCACATCTGTTACCATATTGAATATTATTGTGCACTCCCAAGTTTAGTTCAAAAAGCAGTCAGCTTATAGAGAAATATTATTATCATTGCTGAAATGACCAACACGATTATCTCTTTTATCGGAAACTAGCTGGCATACCCGGCTCCGCTCGGCCCTGTCAAAAATGATAAAGGTTCCATTTCTATCCCTGTACACCTTTACCTATGCCCACTTCTACATGCAATTCCCTATTCCCGCTGTGTGAGTAATCAGTATGCTCAACTACCTTCCTCACCAACCCCCCAGCCCCGTAGCTCAAACTTTGCAAAAAAAACAACAGTAAAATCGATAAAAGTAAGGATAATTCTAAAAACTGATGGCGATATTCAGCTATCCGGGCCTAAAGTATTTTTGTGGCGTATTTTTCTCAAAGTCGGTATGTGGGGGTTATCCAAGCCGGTGATGACGAATACAGTAATCATTTCGCGTGGCTGCGGGTAAAAATCATGAACCTGCCTGAAACCTTGGCAGGGAATTACCTAAAGTGCTGTTTCAAGAATATCGTGCTTAAAGGCAGTGTCCCGGCAGATTCGGGTCCTGGGGGATATACGTGTGGTGGGGTTCCTGGTCACCCCATCGACCTCCAGGCGCACTCCGGCTGGGTGATGTTCCCCCTGGGCCGAGAAAATGGCCCTTGAACCGGCGCGCGCAACCCCAACTGGCGCGCGCTTGGACGGCCTTGCCCGCCTGTTCGGCGCGGGACCCTACGAGCGCTCTCCCCCACGATGCATGCTATCCAAAGCAAGAATTAAGGCGGCAAGATCTTCGTCTGAGGACCTCCCCCAACTTTCCGTTAAAAATCTCTTCCAAGCTGCTTTTCTGGAATTGGGAAAACGCCCCAAAATCGGCCTTTTCAGCCCGTTCAAAGCTCAAATTCGGATTCTACGTGGCGAAAGGGCCTAGAACATGCAAAAAGGTGGAGGTGAAAAATCTGCCGGGACACTGCCTTTAATCCCCACGATAATGGCAATTCGTGTGTTATAAAAGTTTCTCACGACCGTAATGCATTCCTTATAGGACCACTGCGTAATGCATTCCTTATAGGACCGCAATACACCCTTCGACTTGCTTTTGCCTAAGCAAGGGGGAGGGAGATTTGCCGCGTTGGGACAGGTTATCAGGATGGCGCTGGAGACCGCCATGCAAAACAACCGTTTCCCCATTTCGTGAATATCTGGGATCTAAATTGGCCCGAAAGCGAAAAAATGTCCATTCAAATCCTGCAACTCATCATAACTTCACTAATGCGTTATGACAGCGAGCAAGCATCATATTCATAAGCAGTATACTTGTGAACCGTTACAGGTAAGAATTTAAGCAAATCTAACTTCGACCCATCTGCACCCACCGTGACCTAAGAAAATGCACTATCCTGCGAAATCGCATGATACTCATGTTCAGCGCGTCAAATGACCACCCTAAACGAAGTTTAAGGCAAATTTATGTTTTCGATCCCATACCATATAATCACCATAACTCTATAAAGGTCCAAATATGCAGAGAGAGAGAGTATGAAATTCGTAATCGGCATGTCGAATAAGTTCGCTGGACCAAACTCCAGCCAAATTCATGATTTTGACTTCCTACCGTACACCTACCGTAATCAAACCGAGAGACGTTCTGCGGAGAAAGTGTGATATCTGTGATTAGCATGTAGATAACCCTTATACATGAAGTTTGAGCAAGCTCTACGACAAAAAAATTGTGGGGCCAGGATAGCCGAATAGCGCAACTAATATTGTAATCGTAAGCAGCATGCTCGATTACCCCCCTGTGCCAACTCCCAGCCCAATAGCTCAAATTTTGCAAAAAAAAATCGATAAAAAGTAATCGATAATTCCGAAAACTAATGTTGTATTCGGAATCAGCATGCTCGACTACTCCCCTGTGCCAACTCCCAGCCCAGTAGCTCAAACTTTGCAAAAAAATCGATAAAATCGATAAAATTAATAGACGATTTCAGAACTAATATTGTATTCGGAATCACATGCTCGACTACCCCCTGTGCAAACTCCCAGCCCGCAGGTCAAACTTTACGAAAAAAGAGATAAAATCGATAAAAGTAATCGGTAATTCTGAAAACTAATATTGTATTCGGAATCCCCATGCTCACTTACCCCCCTGTGCCAACTCCCAGCCCAGTAGCTCAAACTTTGCAAAAAATCGATAAAATCGATAAAATCGATATCGATCGATAACGAAAAGTAGCCTAGGATACCCGCCGGAGCCCAAAGTGTATGTGTGCCAAGTTTTGTCCGCTCCAAAAATGAAATTTTCTATTCGGAACATACGTACACACCAGTGGCGTACCCAGGATTCCGGCTCGGGGGGGGGCGGCAAAAAAAATTTTTCAGATGAAGGTGCGTGGCGTTAGCCACCCACTTCGAAAAATTTTTAGGGGGGCGCCCCCGAGAAAAATTTTTTTATAAGGCTAATTTGAATTTTTAAAAAATTTTTAAAATTATTTTGTTTACAAAAATAAACAAGTCACTTGCACATTTTTATAACCCATGTAAGTAACTTTCAAAAATTTTGCGACCCGTTCTCGGGGGGGGGGCGCCCCCCCCTCGGTACGCCACTGGTACACACAGACATACATACAGACAGACAGACATACTAACAGACATTCAGCTTTATATATAAGATGTAAATTTTGAAACTCTAATCATAGCTAAAAGCAGAGTTCACTGCGACGAGAATTCGAAACAAGCATTATAGGCGAATTTTGTTTCAAGCAAACTAATTCCAATAACTTGTGTTACATCATAATATTTGGCAATGTTTCGCACAATCAGATATCACTCGTTTTGCAAATATGCGGTCATATCACACAAATTTTTTCAGATTCCAGGAAAAGGAAAATTACACTGCACTTATATTTTTTTCGAAACTGCTCTGAATAACAAAATTCTTTTATTTTGCTTCCAAATGCTATCTTCAATATAAATCGATCTGTAACACAATCGATTGCGTGTGAAGTTGTCGTACGATGTGAGGTCACCCAGACAAGCATGCCTTAGGTGTTCTAGATTGATTCCGCACTCCAAAGTTAGTCTAGGAGTCATTTGGTCATTCATAGATAGAACAACAAAACTCTTGAAATTCACGATCAACACATCAGCTGTTGATTGACTGGCAAAAAAAAGAAATAGAAATCAAAACAATTCTGTAAATAGTCAATCTTCACCCCCAGCTTGCAACAAGCTTATAGATCACTATCAAAAGTTGCTTTTACTTGACTAGGGAACATGGCATGAACCGTGCTAAAGCTGCACTGCAGAGAACTCGTCCATGTTGCGATAGGCGGGGCTAACGGTGCGCACCTTTTGACACACGCCTGCCTAAGCGCGCTCTATCGTTCATAAAGTCCGCCACCCGTCCCAGCCCCACTTTTCAATTCATGGGCTAAGTCCTGAGAAGGCGCCTCAAAAGTCCACTAGCGCAGCCTACTTCGATAGCTGGTAGACTTTTGGAGCGCGTCATCAGAAATTTGAGCATGAATTGTGGGTACTTTTAAGACTACGGTGCAGTTGGATGGTATTATACTTACACCAAATCCTGACTGCCTTTGAGTGGGGTAGTGCATATGGACGTGTAACGATCAGGATCAGCAGAGATCGAAAGGGAGCAGGCTGGACTTCATTTTCAAGCAATGGGGATATCTTTTTGCGGGTGACAGAGCCCCGGAGAAAGATTGTGTACATGCATTTAGCGAAGCTTGTGGGAGAAAACTGCACATACAGAAGAGACAAATCAAACACTTTCTGTAAAGCCAAAAGCGATCACTCATTCAAGCACAAGCTTCAAAGACGTTCGAAGACACGATAGACGTGCTCCATCGTGTATTGCGAAAAGCGCGCGCATTTGAAAGCAAAGCCAAAAGTGACAAATTGTGTTAGCATAGAGACAAGATGACATCAAATATGGACTGTAGACATAGAAAATTTGAAACAGAATTATGTAAAAAGTTTTGAAAACTCGTGTAACTATACCATTTACAGAATTAGTCCGTTTCCAGACGATCAATTAACGATTTAAAATCGTATGGAGCGTATATTTTCATCAGTTCACATAATTTTTGGGCTTTTCTATCATGGGCGAATTCTCCGGTCCAGAGTCTGTCTCCAAGCATGGAAAAATTTTCATATCGTTGCCTTTGCTCCCTTTTTTGCCTTAATTTCTTCATAAATCACTTTGTTAGATACCGTGTTCCAATGCCAAATCCTTGTGCATGCTAGTACTCAGATCTGCTTAAGTTTTTATTCTTATTTCACGTTTTTCCTTGACTAGTGACTTTTTTGTTTCCACCTTCTCCTAAGTCAATAGGTTTCTAATAAGGGTTAAGGAAACATCGTAAATTTTTCGAAAGTCAAGGGATATGTTTTCAATAAATCCTAGAAAACGACTCGTGCCGGGCTCTGGTACTGATATTCCTCTGCGTTTTCTCGTTTAACGATTCATTCTGACATTTGACACCCTCGTGCCGGGCTTCATGATCAAAATATTATCTGTACTACATAAAGCCTACTGCAGGACGAAGGTGCAGAAGCAGTATCATTAGAGCGGGCGCGAACTCAGCACGTGCGTATCTTCAACGTTATAAACCCTGCGCCTCATGCGCTCTGACGCTAATAGCTCAAAGCTATTGCGTTTCGTCATGCAGCAACCTATAAATTAGGTCGTCTCGAAGGTGATATCTGTTTTTATACCCACACATGGGTAGAGATAGACAAGTGCTCCAGAGACTGTTTGATGCAGCCTTTCTCAAATCGTCGAAATTTCGAAACCGTGATTATTACCACCCACTTTGCGATTTGTCAAAAATTTGGATTCATACTTCTGAAAGAGTTTTGACAGCAGGTGGGCAGAGTGAACAGAGTGCAACATAGCGATTTTTGTGCATTTCCAAATAGCTTTTCAGTTTTTCCAACACTTTGGCCGTTGAAGCGCTAAGTATGTCGAAATTGAGTTTTTGCCGCTTGACTTGAAACTGGCATAATTGAATTTATCGAAAACACGGGCGAACTAATTACATAACCTCATGACTATCCACCGAAAAGCCGTGGTATCGCACCTTAATGGATTATGCTTTCTATTCATTACGCCTTTTCAAATACATACCCTAATAAACATAATAGCTAATTCAAGCTGAATTACCCATTTATGAAATTTTGGTTTCATTTGCTCCACGGATAGTTGGTAAATGCGATATATCTCGAAAAGTGAAGCGCGACCGAACGAAGTGGATGGTGCCGGAGTCAATATATCCATATCCAGAGTTCCCCAAGTACTGCTCCTCAGGCACATATACGCTATGTGGTAAGTTTCACAATCAAATTAATTTGCTAAGTTTTCGTGATTGCTCAGGTCATGACGTCCCCGCTAAGCTGCTTGCAGTCGTTGGTGAGAGTTGGTTTCCTCATTCAGCCAACTATAGGTCCGTCTTACCTGAGACTTCGCACTCCCAGATTTTCCCTCGCTCTTACTTTTAGAAAGTTGCCGGAAGATGTGCTGTTCACTGGGATATTTGCGGAGATTGCTGGCATCCGACGGACACACGTCGGGGGAATGTCTTTCATTGATGCTCCTGATTACATATGTCGCAATGGACTTCGCACCTACAGCCTCCATATGAATCGTGCACGAAATCCGTCTAATTACTTTAAACGTCTCACCGCCATGGAAGGTCATCCGTGCTAGTTTTATCACTGATCTCATTTTGTCTATTAATCGTTGATTTATGTTTTGAAGTCATTAAATTGTTGAAGTGATCTTCACAAAACGGCACCAACAGAGGAACGATAATAGATTCGATCTTCGCAAAACAATGATGGTTCACAAGTACGTGAAGATTACCGGTACGAAGGCTCAGAGCAGCACTTGAACGAGGCAAACGCGGGGCATGCATTGCTATTAGGGTCCTGTGCGAAATTAGAGGAGGGATGAACTTCGTTTTGGGGACGAACCGCATCGTAAACATGCTATGCAGGAGGCGACCACTCAGATGAACATACGCTCTACAAGCTTCAACATTTCTTCTACACGCGAGCAATTCAAGACAAAAAAGCAAATTCAAACATATGATTTGTTTACAGCGCAGAGATAAGCAACTTGGACTCTATAGGTAGAATATTAGCAGAGGGATTACCTAAACAATTTGAAAACATGTTTGCCCTGATACCTTTGTCAAAATCCTTTTAGGGAGCACCAACAACTAAACTAGAACATACATTTCTGTGAGCTCATCTCAAGTTTCGGATTCTATTATGGACTACTTCCTTGGTCAAACTATCCTTGAGTAATGTATAGATTCATACCGTGAATACTCTGTTTTTTGCCTCCAATCTATTCATGAAGCCGCTTCGTTGAGTATCGCTCCCCAAAAGTTCATGATTTCTAGGTTCAGTCCCCTATGGTATATGTAAAAATACTAGCGAGAACCGATATAGAATATAAGACTCAGAAGGACGTAAAATCAAATGGAACTTTTTTACCATGGAGTTCGAGTTGTGCTGGATCCTGGCTTACAAGTACTGGAAAGCTTAACAACTGGCTGCCTTTTTCGAGAGCGCACACAAGAATGTCTTTGAGCTAGTGTGAGTAGCGCTGTGTCACTGTCGGACCCTGATGCGGTGAAGGTCGCGGGTACAAGATGTAGACCGGGACTAGGTCATAGGAATTTCGAATGGGTTTTTGGTAGCCTAAGGCCCATAACGTTAAGATCATTGTAAGATTTCATAAGTTGATCATTGCGAATATGTCTCTGCTTTTCAGACAAATTTAGGTGGCGCTACAGATTTCTATCACAAAAGTGTGTTCTAGAGATATCTTACGAAAGTTCAAAAAGCCGAGAAAAAATGTGAACCATAGGCTTTACTTGCAAACTCGACCTCTCTGATGCCTTCTATTTGATTCGTGTGTCTCACATAGGTTCTAAACGCTCAGCTAAGCGAGTTTTGTAGTACGCTATGTTTACACACTCAAGACCATCATTGACGTTTCCTTTCGCGAGATAATCGCAAAACAGCAGTGCCATCGGCATTATGGGCAGCTGTGAAGGTAAGATTTTTTGTATTCTCATCATCTAAGGTTTCCAACCAGATTTATATAAAAATTTTGCATCGACTTTCCATTTTACACATCACTCACGTGATATGACAATGGTTGAGTCACATTAGTCAATGGTTGGTTCTTTTAAATCTTTTGCAAGCCCACCACAGTAGAATAAAAAGAATAAGAAAAACTTAGAGTATGCTTATGAGATATGTCTAGCATGCTAATGATCAGATTGGCAGGTTGTGCATAAATAAATCTACGCTGTTCATCTTATTGTTAAACGTTTTAAAGCTTATCTCAAGTGTGGCTGAAGTAAGTCCGTTCGCATACCACCCTAAGTTTGGCTGATGTATTATATTATGCGGTGTTCAGTGGACAGCATGTGCTTCCGAAAGATGTTTCAAATCGCTTGCATCATTTTGTTAGAGGGTCTAGAAAAAGCTTTCAAATTGGGGAAGTTAAAGCGAAAGCTAAAAAATTTTTTTTAACTATCAAGTTGGCACATAAGTTTTGCAACTTTTTCTTATAATTTCTGTCTTTTTGATTATAACGCTTTCAATTGGTATTGTAATGACTATCATTTGAAACGATTGCAATCATTTCTGCGAAATTCCATCATCTCATTTGAGACTAATGGCAGGACAATTTTCCAATGAAAAAGAAGAAGTAATTGCCATAGATTCAGGTGAAACTTTGTGTGTGTGTGGGGGGGGGGAGTTGCAAGGCATGCTGATTGCGAAAATGATATTTATTTGGCGTGGAAGGCTTATTTGCTACGAAGAAGCTAATATCAAAATTCCATGGGCTGAATTTTGATTCTGACAACAAGTGCTATGATTTTTGTGTATGGCATGCCATTACCCCATTATGTAGAGTTTCGACATCTTCCGACCGTTTCCGACTCGTTGGACCTGATGGGAGGCCACTTTGACGCATTCGAATCACTCGAGTTCACGAAATCGCCAGCCTTTGATTTGACTTTAACTCACAATTTTTTTTCGCTGAGATCAGTACCCAACCTCTGACAAGGGAAAAATACTTGGTCGATGTGGCGTTTCTACATGATACTGTTTTATAGAGCATGGAAAGCTGATTCCAAATCTGCTTTTGGTATCTGCAAAGCGCTTCTGGGAAGAGAGTTCTGAGAAAGTTTCGAGGCGAATATTATCTAAACTTTTGGCTAAAGTAATAACAAGTCATAAGTTTGCTAGACTTGAGGTATCAACTGCATGAAGCGCTGTGGGAATAATTATGGCCTCATTTGAACTCAAGGACTACAGTTCCGAATTATTTTACTGTAGCGCGCGCTCAAACTTTTGCTTTAAAAAATTCCCATAACTCCCCTCCCAGAAACGCTTTGCAGATAACGAAAGCAGATTCGGAATCAGCGTTCCATGCTCTATAAGATAGTCTACATTTCCTACAGAACTGCCGCTTCGACTAAGTATCTCTCCTTGGAAGAACAGTTGCTGCTGAATTCGGTTTTTCTAACTTGTGCAAGTCTTCGTTTTTGCAGAAAACCGCAAAGGAAAAAGAGGAAAAATGTTCAGAATTCTTCCATTTTCTGATAAAAATCTAAAACATTGAGTAAATTTATAGCCCACTTTCGGGACTAAAAATCGCCAAAATTCAAATGCGTCCCATGCAAATGGAAAGAAGTTACCGGCGTTGCAAAACTTACGTGCCAACCTAATATTTCACCCATATAAAAAAATGCTATCGCTCCCAGAAACTGCTCAGAAGCGCTATGAAACTTTAATGCTTTGTTTTGTAAGCTCGACGCTCGTCTCTCATTGTGAAGTCTCTTAGAGTCGACGTTTGGCATTGGAGGCGTTCCTGAGAGGGGATGGTTCATATACAACACATGCTTTGGTAAGAAGAATGGTTTGTGGTTGCCAAATCATCCAAATCAAGGTTTATTTACTTTTGAGAGATTTTGCTCCGTCGATTCAATCATTGAGAAAACGGTGAAGGAACATGACGAAAGTAACTCAGTCTGTTTTTCCTTGTTGAGTTGTTGAATAATTCTTACCTATGAAAAACGCGAAAACTTGGAGGGAAAAAGATGCTAAAAACAGTTCTTTTGCTTTCATATACTTTTCGTAGAATTTTTCTGAATTTCCTGCAATTGTGAGAATGATGCAAATAGATTAGCAGAGCAAAGATAGAGCTTTTCAAGGCATGTAAATTTGCCAAACATACGTAAAACAGGAAAAACGAGAATAATAATTGCGAACGAACTTACCACACAATTTGATAGTTAGTTTCAACTGGGCTGTAAACCTCACACCCACCTTATGCATGAGGATTGAGTAGAAATTATGACTTGTTGCCACTGAGCTGTGTCGCGGTGCTAAATCTTCTATGATAAGCTTTAGCAAGCGGTTATTAGTGAAGCATCAATGAAAGGTGCGCAGAGCAAATAGCAGGGCGGAACGAGTACATACAAGTCAAGCTATAAGTTGGAGACCAGCATCTAGGAAGGAAGGTCAAGCAGGAGCTGGTGTCCTGTTCAATTACATAGGCACGGCGATGTGATTAGAAGCAAATATAAATAAGAAGCAATTATGCAAGAAGGCAATGAAAATGGATAAAGGAGAAACAGTTCCGTTGAGGGAAAGAAGGGGAATTAGAGTCGATCCTATTGAAGAGGTGTCTCTAGGAAGTTGCCGCAAGCCGGAACTCATGCGGGAAGGACGTATCTCTTCTATTAGTGCTTGAGACGGGGTTAGGAAAGATGGACTCAAAGGCAGCGTCCGGGCAAAATCTCGAATGGAATTTTTTTTCGCTTACCTGGGCTCTTATTCCTCCCGCTAATTCTGAAAATGCAGCTTGGAGGGCACAAAAACGCCGAAAAGGAGCTTTTCCAGAAGCTCTTGATTTGAATTTTGTCGCCTGCCGCCGAAGTTAAGATGCAGAGTCTTTACGGGACCCTACATCTCGACTGTGTGCGCTATGCGCACTCTGGCTTATCGAACTAATCGTCCCGGTCGCCGGGGCGTCCCGGTCACCACCTCTGAAGCAGATTTCTCGCTTAGATGGTGCATTGCCAGTTGGGCAAGAGCCTTACCAGGATGGGCGCCCCTGTACGTACTGTGCATTTTCGTATATGCCCGGATGCTGTCTTCAAGTACGCAGATAATCGCGCTTTTCCTACAATAGGGAATGAAGAAAAATCAGGATGCTACCACTGACAAATTAATAGGCTATAAAACGTCCGCGCTGTGCTCGGAGAGCAACGCTGTTGCGTCCATTCGAGGCAGTTCATGACTGAAGGAGGCGCAGAGAAAAACAGGCAGCGAGAGTGCACGAAGGTAGAGGAATGACGCGCAATACACACCTTGCGCACTCTCCGCGCCCTGCGCGGACGGCCTATAGCATTTTCTTGGAAAATGTGGAGTCCAATCAGCTACATTCAAGGGAAACTTAATGCATATCATCCGATGTTTTTCGCAAGGCCGCTCTGCTCATACAAACACATACGCGCGTGACGAATTATGGCTATTCAAATAGCGCAACTATTAGGGGTGAAGTACGTAAAGGAGTTCTTGCTGAATACGTATCTGTCTTTTTTAGAAGCAAAGTCCACGCTCAAACCCTTTATTCATGGATACTGGAAGAGCTTTGAAGAGCGGAACTTTGATAAGGTCGTTTTTCATGCAGACAAAATGTACTTTGTTCTTAGTGCCTAATCAAAATATTTTGTAGGTCATGGAGTTTTTTCATCCCGATGCTATTATTGTAGAAGTTGGAATCAAGGGTACATATGGAAAGGAAGGTAATAAGGTCCAACAATTTTGAGCAATCAAAATCTCGTGTTCAAGCTATCAAAAAACAGCTCTTGGAGTACGACGATCATATGGGAAAGACTACCATGAAGGTAGTACAAGATCACGATTACCACTTCATAATGCCAGAATACTCGCAGGTTTTGGACGAACACTATCAAATGACAGAGGACTATATTATTTTCGGTGGACGCTATGAAATTCAAACGGAGAAAGCTGGAGTTGTGAAAGGAAAATTGAAAGTAATTTGGAAGAAATTGAATGATAAATATCTAGTAATACGTGACGAATATACTAGGGAATGAATGTACAAAGCTAATAAAAATCAAATCTTCTTGATTGGTTTTTCATGAATTTGACTCGAACATCGTTTCACGATTAGATGGTAAATTGTATTGTTCCACAGAGGAAAAGGCCAAAACGTCACAAAAACCTCGTTTGGAGCCCATTTTCTAGCAAGCCAAACATGTGAGCTTACGAAGAGAAATAGGCTCTAATGCAGTGAAATCGTTACCTTACTCTGTCCATCCTAAACAAATTCTCCTGAGAGCAATGCCTATACATATTTTTACCCGAAGTTCTCTTGTGTTATACATAGCAGTACAAATGCCATACGGCTTTCATATTCTGATCTTCACTCTTTCATTATCAACTAGCACAACTTCTTCCAAGTGTAAAGCAAATTATTACCCTAATTTCACGCGTATAGGACGCGAGGGTTTTTTTCTAAAATAGAACAGCACAGACACGCAGAAGGACTTCGCGACCAAAAAACTATTTACAGTGCTGCATATTGCCTGGGAGTATCTTGCGGCATAAGTCTCGTTTTTCGAAACAACGAGGCAGCTGAGCGGCACGCTCGAAAAACCAAAAAGGTGCGTCTTATACGCGTGAAATTAGGGTACTATGGCTTCAGCAAACAGAAACTTTCAATTTCTGTTCTATGCAATTGTGGCGAGCCAATAAATCATTCTCAAACGTAAACGAGTACTTTCTCCCTATCTGCAATACTTCATGTTTACACAGAATTTATCATCGTTCACGTACTTATTGAGATAAAAAACCAAGCAAACACTCACACCTGGTTCAACACAATCATGAGTAGTGAAGGTAAGTCTCTGCATATTAGTTTGCCCCATGAGTCTTTTTATACCTAAATTTTCACCGATATAAGCCAGTTCTTCTTAAAATCGCAATAGGATGCGGATATCATCTAACAGATCAAAACAAGCTCTGCCAGGACCTTCAAGATTTCGCGCCAAGCTTGATCCGCATCAAGTTTCAAGCTAAAATGGAAAAAAAACCGAATTCCCAAATAACGAAAATCATTGTATCTCAGTTAAACTCAATTTTGCAGATTTCCCACTCGCTTATGCTGCATTTTTTGATGGCTAAAATTCAATAAAAATACGCTGTTTTCAAACTTTGTGTAACACTCCTGTGTTCCTAGCAAATATGTGATTATATAGCTTATACACTCAGAAATGCTGCCGCATATTTGTACCCTTACCCTAGTTCTCAAGAAATAAAGTATGAAGGTTAGAGTACGAAAAAACTTAAGGTACAACTTAATAGCTACATAGCAATAGTTCTTCCTACACGAACGTTTCTATATAACAAAAGTGTTTCAAGAGGACCACAATATTTTCTTTTCAGTCATCCCCAGTGACAAAATATTTGAATCCTCCTCGCTAGCTAATGACGACGTGATTATAATGACCAAACTCCATTCCCCTCCCCTACAAGATGGTAAATTAGTATAAGCGTAATCTAGAAGGAACGCACTTCTCACTTGACCGCCTACAATAATATGTTCGACTGTGCTAGAAATGCAAGCTCTCTGATGGAATCGAAAAGGCCAATTGCTTACCAATTTTTGGAGGTCATGCAACTTATTTTGTCAACGCGTCCCAACCTCGTTTTGCATAAGAGCAAACTGCCTCAATCATAGATCTATTTGATGACGAATTTTTTAGGGAGGTTTCTACTGTAGTCGGCACAGGAGATAACATGGGACGAATAGTTTCCAAGTTATAATTTTATAAACATTATTCAGTACTTTAAAACTTACCGAATGAACACTTACAAATGCAGAAATTTTGGAAAGCATCCAAAAAGATTTTTGTCGCCCTCCTCCTCAACCAAATAATCTGTCGGACCGCTAACGCTTATACGTACTTTAGCAGTGGTCCTTGTTTTGCAATTACAAAAATGCTAGCAACAGAGTCAGATAGGGTAATGTCCATAGATAAGAATTAGGAAATATGTCGCGAAGAAGTGATAATAAGAATATAGCAAACAATAGAGGTAAACTTGGTTGCATTGGATGAAAACTTTCAATGTTCAGTTTACCTCGAAAAAAATTTGAATGTTCAATTTACCTCCTTTTCCTCTAATGCCAAATTACAATGTATCACCTCTTGAGCTTGAAATTAGCTATACATTGAAGGTGTATTTTGGTTCGAGCTCATTGAAATGGCATTTTTCCCAGTTGTTTCCGAATGTACCCTTTGATTCAACAGGATTGGCGGCTGGGAGGCTTTCGAGGCCTGATCAAGGCTAGAGAATGACCAGAGAACAAACTCGCGAGAGAAACGCAGACTACGTCGTGAGCGCGAGCGGTCGCCTTTCAGCCGCCAATCTTGTTATATTAAAGGGTATAGAGAGCGTAAATGCATTAAAATTACCTTTTTGTTTCGATAACATATTCTACATTTGAGATGCGAAGGCTTTACTTCGACCTGTTCTCTTAGAGCTATGGAAATGTTTCCAGCAACGTGACTTTGATAAGGTAAGTGGCTATATTTGGATTCGAAGATAAGATTTGTCGGACGCTGAACTGACCTGTAGAGATAAGCAGGATATTCATTCCAAGATAAAGTTTGACGTGTTTTGCAGGCCATTGAGTTCTATCATCCACACGCAGTTCTTGTCGAAAGAGGGAAAAGGGGGTTCTATGGCAAAGAAGGTATGTTAGGTGTCGTTTTATATCTCGATACCTGTAAAGGCGTGTTTCAGAAATCAAAAAGCACTTGCTGGAGTACGACAAACATAGAGGAGGGACTTCCATGAAGGTATGTGTTCAAATGATGTATGTAAAGTAATCACTACCGAATTGCAGTCTTGGAATGATGAGCACTACCAAATGACAGAGGACTACATCACTGTTGATGGCCATTATAAAACCGAAACGGAGAAAGTTGGAAACATGGATGGAGAATTTCATATGATTTGGAAGAAATCAAACGGCAAATACTTGATCAAACGTAATGAGTTTGATGAAAGATAGGAAAATGATGTTACAATCTTCAATAGTTCGTATCACCACACATTGTATCTCTATCTTTACGTGAAAAGCCGCAGGAACTATCACTGTATATGCAAATGAATTATGAATAGATATTAAGATTTCGTTATGTATGCGTGCTTTCTTTCTTCACCCGTCCAACGGAACAAGAAGCATTAGAGGGCAAAACATCACTTTACTGTCTAAGGGAAGGATACTTGGTCGAAGTGGAGTTTTCATATGAAATGTATGCTGTCTTATAGAGTGTGGAAGGTTTATACCAAATCTGCTTTCCTTATCTGCAAAGCGCTTCTAGGAGGAGAGTTGGGAACATTTTGAGGTATAATAAATTGGCTACGATAAAAGCAAGTGTGGAGATCTCCCCGGTGCTTGAAAGGAGTAGTAACGGCATAAGTTTATTAAATTGAAGTTCTCTATTGCATAAAAGCTCCTAGTAGCAATCACGACCCCATTTGTGCTTACGGACACATTTGAATATTTTATTGCAACCATGCTTTCAAATTTCTGCATGAAAAATTTCTCATAATTCTCCTCCCAGAAGCGCTTTGCAGATAAGGAAAGTAGATTTGGAATCAGCGTTTTATGCTCTATAAAATAGCTTACATCTTATATGGTAACGCCACTTCGACCAAGTATCCTTCCCTTGTAAGATGAACGCAAATGTTGAGATCTTTCCGGTGCTCGAAAAGAGTAATGACTAGCATAAGTTTACCACACTGAAGGTATTGATTGCATAAAGCGCTTTGGCAGTATTCCTAGCCCCATTTAAGCTTGGGCTACATTTCCTAATGATTTTTATGTAGCCCGCGAACTCCTATAACTCCCCTCCCACAAGCGCTTTGCAGTTAACGAAAGCAGATTTGGAATCAGCGTTCTATGCTCTATAATACTTTTCACATTTCGTGTTAAAACGCCACTTCGACCAAGTATTGCTTTGTAAGATAATACTTGATTGTAAGCGTTTAATATTGTGACGTTTACGAACCGTTAAACATACCAGATGAAAACAGGTTACTGAGCCATGGACGTTGTATATGATACACAAGCAGTGTCCCGACAAAGTGGGGGACGCCATTTGGTAGCAGTGTTACGGTGGGGAGCCAACCTAAACTATCCCCAAAGTTCGGGAAAAGGGATCCACGAATCGGACATCAGCTTTTTCAGCAAAAGAGATTCTTTATGATAAGCTATGAGCTTATCATAAAGAATCTCTTTTGAACAACAACAGAACAGCTGAGATTAAATCTATCAGATGAGACTACGAAATTTATAAGTTTGCAGCTTCACTTCGATTGAATTCTCAGCGAGCAGACAAACACAAGCGCCCTCTTCTACACCTTGGCCAACATTTGATGACGATAAAAGAGTGAATTTTCAAATCGCATGAAGAAAGCTTGCTTACACTTAAGCTATACACAAAGAAAATGTAAAAGCACAGAAAATCCTAAAGTTTATGTAGAATTCGAGGAGCATCAAAATTATAACCATCATGACGCAGAGAAAATGTAGTGCGAATAGAGCAGCTAGACGTAGCTAAAGACTGAATTCAATCTCCGAAAATTTAACGCGCCTTAAATCGTACATTTTCCGCGCTCGGATTGTCTACGTACATACGAAATTGCGAGTAATCTGAAATCTGCGACCGCTGTCCCGACTCATTATCCCATCTCTAAAATCGCGGTCAGCCGAACGTAGCGACATAGCCTGAATGAGGCAAAACTACTTTCTTCAGAATTTGCATATTTATTTCCAAAGGAAAAAGAACAAGCTGATTGCAAACGATTCAGCTGGGTGGGCCACATCCAGACGGTATTGAGGGGATAGAAATCTGTCTCGTGCTAATCTTCTTCGACTACGAGAAAGTCTTCGACAGCGTTGAAGCGAACGCCATTCTGTCAGCGTTAGTCGACCAAAGAGTGAACCCAGCTTACGTGAGGACACTAGCCGATGCTACTAGGACTGCACAACGGCGATACAGCTATTCCATCGCCCTCTGACCATCCTAAATTGGGAAAGGGGTCCGACAAGCGACACAATCTCGCTGAGTTGTTCACCCGTTTTGCAATGGGTGATTGGACTGTGAAGAGAGGCGTGCGATTTGATGAAGATCGAAGGATAAATCGAAAGAAGACTCAGTTCTTAAAAAACGTCTTTTGCGAACATGTGCAAACGGAATTGGAAGGTACCACCAATGAAGGCATCTTCTTATGTGTATTTTAAACGTTCAATAAACATGGAGAATCATACCTTCGATAGTCTAGAGACAGGGCGTCAAAAGTGAAGGTTGTTTGAACATCTGACGTTATAAATAGTGAAGGTTGTTTGAAGATGATCAAAGAAGAGAAAATGACATAAATCAGATATAAAAAGCAAAAGAAACTGCTAAAAACCGGATAAAAACGCTGCACTAGGTTTGGAATCTTTCACTTGGCGCTTTCAAGGTGCAAGTTTTCGCTCCAGGACCAGCAATTCGCAACACGGGGTTTTGATTTTCGGTGCGTCCTTTGAATTTTTACCCCTGCATTGACGTTCCTGTTTCCTGGGACGTTGTCCGGATTGTTGCGCTTATTGTTCTGAGCAACAATCGCCCAAGCTGGAAAAAAATCGATGCGAAAGAACACTGAAACAGAACAAGGTAAAGAAAAACGCACTTTTTACGATTTTTCGCAAAAAATTCCACAATAATCGAAGAGATAAAGGCTGGGTGGTTGTCTGCAATAGAACAGAAGCAAGCTCTATAGAATGCGCGAAAAAACCGCGTGAAAATAATTAAACTAGGAGAAAAACAAGAGATTTTCGAAAACAAGATTTTTGCCGGATTTCTCGATCAAATCGAAAAATATGGTTTTGGGACGTTGTCAGCGTGAAAATAGAGATCAAGAGCTTTAAAATGATATATAGCTTGCTAAAATTGAGTTCGAAACAGCGAAGAAAAGGGTACCAGAGCCAAATGCCCCGCGCCCCGCGTTTGGGGTAGCGAGGTAGCGCGCAGCGCGCGGAGACGCAGACGAGCAGCGGAGACAGACCAGAGCCGGCGGGGCATTTGGCTCTGGTCGTAGATCTCCGCGGGGTCTCAACGAAACCGTGCAACATTATATATCATTCTGATCGCCATGACACGACGAGGGGAACTGACAACGACCCAAGCTTTGAAGATCCCTCATTAACCAGATAGACCAGCGTTTTCGTGCGCGACTCCCTGCGCAAGATTTAAGCGCAGTTTCTCGTTGTTATTTAACTCCAATAGCTTTCCTAAACTTCTGAAACTCGATTTTGTTCAAATGAGAGGTTAACTAAGAAATTCTGTTCTGAATTCTGGCAAAAATCCCACAAAAACCTTTTTTAAAGGTAAAAAAGGTTATGAAAACGCAAATTCTCGGTTTCGCCGAGATAAGCTACAGATATTATTCCCTATATTTGCTTCATTAACGTTCGTTTTGGTATAATCAGGATAATAACATCCGGGGCAAATCCCCGGATGACTTCTGTTTTTCTCCAGGTGAAGGTTGTGTCCCCTCTTAGCCCTCAAAGTGAAGGTTACCAGAGTACTTGGCTCTATGTATCGAGGGTATGTGGAGAATGATTTGAGGAAAGAAATAACAGGAGAAGAAGAGCAGCCCTTGCCGTTTTCGGGTCTTTGAAGGAAGCCACCAAAAAACTGACGATCCCGGAGCTTCGAGCCCACCTGCCGACTAAACCGTTTTCTCGACTTGTTACGCTACTGAGACTTGGGGCGACGCTGTAGCCATGTCGGAAGTTCTACGGAACACCTACATGCCAATCCTCAGATTTCTTACCTTGTTGGCACAAATAGGAGTCTGACTCCCCCTTAATGCAGTCGTCCTTATTACAACGACCGCCTCAAGGTAGTATCCAGGCTAATTCTAACCGATCCGTTTAAGGTCGATTTTGGATACTTTGAGGGGACGCTGCCTTTAAGTGGGTTGCTCCGTTCCATGGCACAGGATGACTAAAAAGCTGTTTGGCTGTCTTTATTAAAGCAAAACAATCGAGATTGTTTATTTAAGCATTGGTCGTTTCCAGAAAAAAATCAGATACATCTTCCTCCTCAAACAGATATTCATACGAGTTCAGCCAGCAAAATATGTGAATGATGGTGCAATGATGGTTCGCTGCCGCTTGTTCTTCCGCTGGGATGACAAAAAACCTAGCGAACTTTTCTGTTCTGGGCAATTTACTTATGGATTGAGAATGCAGTGGCGTTCTCAAAGTGTTATTGTTCTTTCGATTTGTTGCACCAAAAATGGGGTCATTAATCAGAAACTAATCCGATCTACTTTAGTGCATAGTCAACACAAACGTTCAATAAAACCTGTTAGATGTGTGGATGACTTGCCAGTGGCCGTATTCATCAACGAACCCTGAGGGTTAAGCTTACCCTCCAGGGTTAGTTTAACCCTCAGGGTTCATTGGCCGTATTCATCAACCATAGGCTAGGGTTTACCACGGAACGCGATCTACCCGTATCGATCAACGAACCCGTGGCCGTATTCATCAACCCTGAGGGTTAAACTAACCCTGGAGGGTTAAGGCGTCAGCTACGTGTGCGTTGTGCAAACTCACATCACAGAATGCCTAAGTACGGGCTAAATTCACTTTGTACTTTTATTCTTTCACTGTTATAGTAGTATAGTCAACGAATTAGCTTCTAACACTAGTTTTTATAATACATCTCTAGCATACTTGTGCAGCATCCAATCTTACAGCGTCAGTTTATTTTCATGTGTGCAATTGTGCAGTGTAAGTTCTACTTTTGCACGGTTCGTTTTATACCGGACTTGTGCTACTCTTTTAGGGGTCAATGCGTGTTATTATAAAGGGGTTCTTCTGTTTTGGCACTTGTCAGAGTGGAATACCATTTTTCCTCGTCGCATTCATTTGTCACCAAAGCTAGAATTCTATTTCTCGCAAAGTCAGTGTTTCTTTTACTTCGAATATGAACATAAAACGAAGTCGAAACTAAATACTATAACAACAACCAATACTAAATACTACAATACTCGTTGATCATTTTCCATAAACTATTAGATGCGAGTAAATGTTTGTATGAAGTGTTAGGGTAGAGTTAACCTTGCTCTGAGCTAGGGTTAAATTAACCCTGATGAATCACATAAGTTTAACCCTCCAGGGTTAGTTTAACCCTCACGGTTCGTTGATGAATACGGGTTAGTCGCTTTCGGGGTAAAATTAACCCTCAAGGTTGGATTTAACCTTCAGGGTTGAGCCTACCCTGTGCTTCATGAATACGGGTTAAACGCTTTCCAGGGTTAAACTAACCCTCCAGGGTTAGTTTAACCCTCGGGGTTCGTTGATGAATACGGCCACAGGATTTCAATGCGCTTGGAAGCAGGTTGCCACTACCTCCAATGAACTTGGGGTCAACTAATGTTCAAGAAAAGAAGCAGCATTTTTTTTCAAAAGTGAGTTTGAATAGCGGAAAAGTACCTATCATATCGAGCTGTAAGCAAGCTCAGTCACTCTGTTCTCACCAAATAAGCAGCAGCCCACTCGGCTTTGTTCGCTTCGTAATCGGTTGGTTATCGAGGACAAGGCACTCTTGTGATATTCTTACTTTAATAAGGAGTTTCTGATGTGTGTGGGAAGGAGGAGGGGAGCCGCTTCCGTCAAAACGGCCATTCAGCATGAAAGTAAAATCGTTTGCAAGAGAAGGAATAATGTAATGATTGGTGACTTTCTTCATGCCTTGTATTGTTACTTTTAAATCTACTGGTTGAAGGTGCTGTTCCCAGTTGACAAAGTATAATCACTCAATGAATCATTTGTGTAGGTGTAAACAAGCACTTTCTGTCTTACTATCTGCAATACTTTATGTTTACACCTAGGTTGTTATCATTCACGTACTCTCGTGCGATAGAAAAGCAAGTAAACAGTCACATCAACATTCGACACAATTATGAGCTGCTGTGAAAGTGAGTTTTAGTGCAATTTTATCATATAATTTCAAAATTAAAATCATGAAACACCTTCATAAAAAACAGCAGATGTTTTCTGGAGTGCCACGAAGATTTGAGGAGAGTTGAGTGTAAATCACCAGCAAATGAGTTTCAGACAGCCTCGTGATTGAAAACAGAAAAAATTTTTTGGTAGTAAGACCTTGCACAGACTTTAGAGCTGCAGGCGATCATATGAAATAAAAGAAGCAGGGTTGGTTGTGCTTGGTTGCTGGTTGTGCTTGTTCGATCTCATTCCACCAAAGGGAATAAAACGCTGCTTTTCATGGTAGAACTATTGTAGGAATTTTTGGGTATTTTAGCCTTGCTGTGCAGTACACCTTAGAATTCTTAGAGTAAACCAATTTAGCTTCTTCCCCGCTATTTCAAAAGATAGCTGACGTTGAAAGCTTCATACGTTCTACTTACAAAGGCTTGCAGCTGCATCAGTAGTTTTGTGCAACTTAAATGTCAAGAAATCAACAGCTTAGCACTCTACAAGCACTATATAAATCTTAACAAAATATAAAAGTGCCCACTTTACTTGGAATTTTGTGAAACTTGAGCTTCTGTCATAATTGCGCAGTTGTGATATGAAATCGATAATTTGTACCTCAGCTTTTAATCAATCAATGGTTAAAAAAGAACAAAGTTCGCACAAAGTGTTGGGGCCATTTAGGTGACTCAAACGATGCACAGAAAACGTCAAAGAAACTTACAATAAAATAGTTTGCAATCCTCGGATAACTTCAAAATTCAGCGATGAATTTGAATTTATGCATAACAATTAGTAGCTAAAAATGGAAAGTATTAGGTTGTCCGGAAATTAATGTCCGCTTTGAATTTCAACTGCAACAATTCATACACTTTTCAATCCTGAATAGCTTTCAAGGTACCGTTCGATAGAGCAAAGCAAGCTCTACAAGATGGCAGTCTTGCTTTAGCAACAGCTCTCATCCTTCACGAGTTTCGAGCCAAAAACTAAAAAGATTCAGCTGCCCAAAAAATCAAGAAAAATCATAATTCAATTCGTAAGAATTCTACAAAAATTCTAACTTGCTCACGTAAACACTATCCACATAAAACATATATGTACGCTATTGCCGTATTTTTTTCTCTGTTAGAAATCGAAAAAACAAAAATTTTCATGCTTTTGCAAAATTGATGCTGTGTCGTTCCCACATAAGTAGATGTATACTACAAATCTGTAAAAGTACAAACGTAAATTTTCAGCTCTATACAAGCTTTAGTTCTCGAGAAATTTGAGTTTTAGTTTGGATCACCTGACTAATGAAAGCTATATTCGATATTTCTCGAGAACTAAAGCTTGTAGAGAGCTGAAAATTTGAGTTTGTACTTCTACAGATTTGTAGTACACATCTACTTATGTGGGGACGACACAGCATCACTCTGGTAAAAGCATGAAAATTTTTGTTTTTTCGATTTCTAACAGAGAAAAAAATACGGCAACAGCGTACATATATGTTTCATGTAGATAGTGTTTACGTGAGCAAGTTAGAATTTTTGCAGGATTTTTATGAACTGAGTTATGATTTTTCTTGATTTTTCGGGCAGCTGAATCTTTTTAGTTTTTGGCTCGAAACTCGAGATAGATCAGAGCTCTTGCTATAGCAAGAAGACGATCTTGTAGAGCTTGCTTTGCTCTATCGAACGGTACCTTGAAAGCTATTCAGGATTGAAAAGTGTATGACTTATTGCGGTTGAAATTCAAAACGGACATTAATTTCCGGACAACCTAATATTAGGTTGGTCCGAAAGTTCGTTCGCACCATATTCAAAAAATCATAGATTCCTTCCCTCACGATGGTTTTGCGCAATTCAAATTTTATTAGAAAGCGTAAAGCATGTAGTTTCTCATAATCGCGGCGACTTTCCAACATGCTCAGGTTGCAGAGATAAAAATGAAAGAACGAGATCATCCGAAATTCGGAATTTTTAAGCAAAAATTCTAGAAATTCAGAAACTGTGCGATAAAATCCAGAACAGTTATCATCCTAAGTTCTCTTATATTTTATCAATAACTGAGTCAAGTTTGTGCTGATCGAGCCCTTCCTTCGAAAGTTATGAATTTTTGAAAAAAAAATGCCGAAAAATCATCTTAAGAATTTTTAGGAAATTAATTTTTCGGCATTTTTTTCAAAAATTCATAACTTTTGAAAAAAGGGCTCGATCAGCACAAACTTGACTCAGTTATTGATAAAGTATAAGAGAAGGATGATGACTGTTCTGGATTTTATCGCAAAGTTTCTGAATTTCTAGAATTTTTGCTCAAAAATTCCGATTTTCGGATGATCTCGTTCTTTCATTTTCATCTCTGCAACCTGAGCATGTTGGAAAGTCGCCGCGATTATTAGAAACTACATGCTTTACGCTTTCTAATAAAATTTGAATTGCGCAAAATCATTGTGAGGGAAGGAAGTTATGATTTTTTGAAAATGGTGCGAACGAACTTCCAGACCAACCTAATAATTAGGAGCCGAGAACAACAAACAATTATATTCTTTGCTATGTTCAATTATAAATAATCATTTAAGAAGCAAAGGCCGCCCTTCGACCTGTTATGGAAGAATTGTGGAAATGTTTTGAGGAGCGAAACTATGACAAGGTAGTGCAACATTCCTTTAATTGATAAAAAGGAGTAGTGAAATGGGTTCAAGAAATTTGCTCCCATATAAACGGAAAATTTATTAAGTTAGCTTAAACTTTTAAGGCCATCGAGTTATATCATCCGCATGCGGTTCTTGTCGAAAGAGGAAAAAGAGGGTTCTACGGGAAAGACGGTTTGTTGAACTTCTTGCTATGTAACAGTATATTCAATGTCGACTTTCAGATATCAAGAAGCAATTTATCGACTATGACAAGCAAAAAGGAAAATGTACACTGAAGGTAACGGACTACGAATTATGAATGTTAATAACTTACTATTAGTTGTATTGCAGTCTTGGAATGACGAACACTACCAAATGACAGAGGACTATATCATTGTTGATGGCCATTACGAAACACAAACGGAAAAAGCCGGCGTTATAAAAGGAGAGTTCAACATGATTTGGAAGAAATCGAATGGCAAATATCTGGTGAAACGTGATGAGTACACTGAGAATTAAATACCAATAGACTCGTTATAATATCTTGTAAGCCATGACATTGCTCTCTTCCACGAATATCGATGTAGAGTACCTCGTATGAAATGTGTTACTCAAGGAATATGAAGTTTGTTGTTTTGTAACTTCAGTAAGGCGGAGTAATAAAAAGAGAAAAAGTGCTCTTGTTCAAAGAGTAGTTGCAGTTTTTCTTTTGATCTTACAAGATAGTTCAATGACATTGACATTCAACGGAACTTTCTCTTCGGTGTTAAATTAGGTTTGATGAAGGTCTCGCACCAAAAAAGGGTCAAAATTGCAATGTTTCATATACTTATGTTTAGCTAGGTTTTGGGATACCATTCAATAGAGAAAAGCTTCACGAAACTTTGGCACTTGTAATAACTTCGATACATTATCCTTCTACAAGAGCTGAGTTTTAAGATTGAATTTGATTCCAAACTTCGATAAAGCGAGCTGGGCCGATATTTCTCAGAGATTGCCCTTCGTAAAAGGCTCAAAATTGAATTCTGTACTTCTGATAAATTTCTGAAGCACAATTGCGATGGGAATGGCTCAGCATTTCTTCGGAAAAGACAGAATTTTCAATTTTTTGCTTCCTCGAAATCTCCACCCTCTCCGTAAGGGCTTTCTTAGTGCTCGATACGTAAGTTGGGTCTTATTGTTAGATCTGAGATACAAATCCAAGGTCATGCGAGGATATAATTGGAGTAACATTTTAAAATTCAGCACAAGGTCCAACGGACAAAACTCACATTAGATGACATTTCTGGGGCTTACCCTTACAGTTAAGGACAGTACAGTCGAGGTTTTCTTTAAAATTGCGTAACTGCACATTTTTCATAATAAGATTAGCCAAGGGCCGAAATACTCTTTTCTGGGTCTCTTAAATTCTTTCCTAGTTCAGACACAATAATCGAAAAAGCTTAAAGGCAGCGTCCATGCAAATCTGGACCTATGGGGATTTTACGTGGAAAGTAATTTTGGGGCCCTAACTAAGCCACTGCCCAACTACCTCTGGTAGTGCTCTAACGGTTGAGATATTCTCCTCGAAACTAGATCCCAGGATTGCCGCATCGATTCATGGCGCAACCCATCAATTTCGCGCGCGGACCCACGTAGTTGCGCCATGAATCCATGCGAATACGATCCCGGGGTCCAGTTTCGAGGGGAATATCTCAGCCGTTAGAGCACTACCTGAGTTGCCGGCTGGGCAGTGGCTTATTTAGGGCCCCAAAATTACTACCTACGTAAAATCATCATAGGTCCAGATTTGCCTGGACGCTGCCTTTAAGGTAATTTCAAGACTTCTCGCCCGAAAAACTTGCGTCCATCTTCAACTTTTCGGAACATGTGAAAGTGCATAAGTCGCAAAGACACCTACATGGCTACACATAATGCGCATGAAAGAGGGCCATTTCAGGGAAAGGTGATACGAGAAGTCTGTAGTAAACGAATTTTTCACCTCTGTTCACTGATTCAAAAATAAACAGAGCGATTAGTAAGTATAGATATGAATATGGTTTTAGATAGATATAAATATGGTTTTTTTATGGCACAAAAGTTATTTGACAAGCTTCAAGTCATAACATTTTGATATCATTCTACCTACCCAGTGGTGGTGTCATACTACATGTGCGTTGTCTCTTGTTCTTAAGGGTGGCCTCCCTTCTTTTTCTAAGGTTTGGAATCAAGGGCTTGCAAGAATTTGTATCCCAAAATTTTTTCAGAATGCGTGGCTTACGCCACGCACTTTTGTTTGAAACAATAAGCTTAAATTTTATTTCGCCTCTTATTTACTTGTAACTTACTCACGGAGACTGTCGAAAATGAAAAAAGTTAGTAGAAAGTATTTAGCATTTTTTGAAGCGCTGGAACGACGGTTCTCCTTACAACATCGCCGGTTAACGACACTTTACTGCATTTGCAGCAGTGTTCTCTGGACAACCCTTAGCGAAAACAACAACATCGAAAAAATCGATGCGGCTCCATCCTCGTCAACAGCCGAACAACCATGAGCACCTTCAAGAGTGAGTTTATCAAATCCATAAAAATCTGATTTTTTAGTGGTACATCATAATACGTCTTCATGTCGCGCTTTTCATCGTGTTGTTGCAACGTTGTGGAATTTCTTTCCATGAACGAGACATGCTTAAAAGGAATGTTCCCAAATGTGCGCACTCTGATTGTTGATAACTCCTTTGCATCACCCGATTTTTGAGCACCAAGTTTTGAATCCAGGTCTGCAGTGCAGTAAATCGAGTGCTCATTACTGTGGAAAAGCGGTAGGAACTATGAAGACTTTTGAGTCATTGGTTGAATTTTGCCTCAAAATTGAAACATGCTAAGAACGCACTGAGCCTATCGAAATCGCTGTCTTCGGAATTTGCACCTTACCTTAACGCTTCGCGTTATGCCCACGTATGCGATGACTGTTCTCTCGATGTTTCTTCAAAATGCTAATACAAGAAAATGCAGGTGTAATTACACCATTTGAAAGACTTCATATAAGTTTAAAGTGTTAAGTTGTGAAATGCATGCGTGAAAACCTTGCTGCACAATTTCCCAGACTTTTCTAGAATTTTTTGAAACGGCCATTCTCGCATTAGAGTTGTTTGCTAAAAGTTCCTACTGCGAACCTAAAAGGAAAGAGTTGTCACAATTTCTTTGGTTCAAACTGTAAATTTGAGTCAAAGCTGTGTCTACAGAATGGAGGCTAGAAAGACTTTAACAATTTTTTGTGCGAGGATATTCTTTACATTTTAGCTGCCGCTTACCCTATAGCTAGCTTCCTGTAAATCCATATTTTTCCTTTGCAGAAGCTCAGTCCATTCTCAGGCCGATTTTCGATCAGTATTGGAAGGATTTCAGCAAAGCAAATATCGATAAGGTAAACGAGTAAGATTTTATTTACTTTTCAGCCAAGAAAAAACTCGATCTTGTACTTTCTTTCTCTTTTCAAATCAGCACAGTTTTCATTATATTTTCCAGGTCATTGCATACTACCATCCTGATGCACTTGTTGTGGAAGCTGGGAAAGGTGGAGTTTTCGGCAAAGAAGGTAGAAAACTTGATACCAAAAATTATTTTACTTATCTCGAATCCTGTCTTCCAGCCATAAAGCAAGAAAAGACCGATTTCAATGAAAATACCGGAAAGGCACCAATGAAGGTAATTATCGCTATCACTAGCAGTAAAATTTGCAGAAAATAAGTTTCAGGTGACCAATGAAAATTACCAAATGACTCCTGATTACATTATTTACGATGCTGAGTATGAGATCAGATCGAGCAAATCTGGCTTGCAGAAGGGAAGGTTTTCGCAGATCTGGAAGAAAAACAAGGACGACTACTTGATTCTGAGAGAAGAATATTCTGCAGATAGCCCAGCAGATGACAATATTGCAAAATCCTCAGAAGGCATAACCGCGGATACCCCGCCAGATGACAAAGTAACTAAATCCTATGACAGAACAACTGCCTAAGTTTATTCACAAATCATGGAGAAGCTGAAGAAGTTGTGTTATTTAGTTTTGTGTATAAGAAGGGATGATACCTTGTCGTTTTGCATTCATGAATGGTTTCACTGTAGCTACCAAATCTTTTTTGTACACTGCCACATTTTTTATTGTGTATCATTCCCTTGCTCAAATAAATATCAATATGCGACGTTTCAAATATGGGGGTGGTACAAGTTGCAATTAGCTTTCGTCGAGTCTCAAAATATGCGTCACACCATATAGAAATTGATAGTGCAGCGCCTGCAAAAGACGACTGATAGTTTATTTTTTTTTGGTTTGCTTAACTCAAGATAACTTTTTTTTCGCTAATCAACTATGCAGCATTCCTTGCTTTTCTTCCAAATGTCCATTTTCTTATAAGAGTAGTCTGGATGCAGGATTCTTCTCATGACTTTTTTTTCTCTTAGGTTAAGGAATATTCAGTAGATTAATTGAGATTTTCCATCGAAACTCCGGATATGATCAAGCAAGTATTTTTCCGGAGTTCCTCTATGTACTCCGAGTTTCTTTATGTACTTTATGCTAGAAACTGGATGACGTGAACTACTATTACTCCCTAGTTAATATCTACTATGTAATTGCCATGGTTCTACTATTGAATACATACTATCAATAATAGATATCGTAGTGTCATAACTAATTTTCCGACAAGTGCAAACTTCATCTCTCACTTCTCCAGCTCCTGGTACAAGTTTTATATTTTCATGAAAGAAACCACGATGTGATATACATCCTATGATTAAGGGGTAGAGGTTAGAGGTAACTACTCACTGTTTTTCTACGATAAGAGAATCGAAATGATGGACTATAATTTTTTACGTTCGAGACAATGCATGATTCCCTTCTTCATGATGAAAAACATGTTTATTCCAATATAGGAACTATGATAACGCTGATAAGTTACTGTCTACTGTTTTCCAGTTTCGAATGATCATAGTTCTCTACTTATTATTTAGGGTGCACCTTCAGATTGAACTTTCAATCCAAGACTTCAGCATGAACTGCTGCGAAAGTATGTTTAGCGCTTTATCAAATGATTTACGAGGGTTAAATTGCTGACTTGACAGATTTGTTGAAAAGCTATTCTGGAGGAATCAAGCCATCCATGTGCTTCAATCCCCCCCCCCCGCTCCCATAGTGGGTCGTGAGATTTCTGAAAGTTATCTGTATGCTGTCCGAATAATTTTTCAAGTTTTAAGGAAGTCAAATTGGCCTCACAAGAATTTCTTTTTCGGGGCCTTCAGATATGCTAAATCTAAGCTAGACGTGTAAATGTGTCCAGGAGCCAAGACCACACTCCAGCCACTTTTTAATCACTACTGGAATGATTTCGATGAGGGACGCTTCGATAAGGTAGGTAAAAAAAATAGTAAGGATTCAAAATTTGCTCATCACAGAGATGAGAATAATAAGGGAGGGGAGATTATTTGCCATGTATCATTTGAGAAGGTGGTGTGCATTAATGCCGTATTCACGTTTTATTGCATTTCTCTACTCAAATATTTGCAGCTTATTGAGCATTACCACCCAGACGCAGTTCTGATCGATGTCGGAAAAAAAGGAACGTATGGAAAGGAAGGTAATACTGGAGCTGTGCTGCGCTTTGGCTTAAATCAGCGATACTCTTTTAGCTATCAAGCACGAAAAGCTAAGATTTCATAGACGTACTGGCAGAGCTCCAGTGATGGTACAAAACCTATGTTACGAAAGATTGAACTCTAGCCTCCATTGTAGCTTTCCAATGAACACTATCAAATGACAGAAGATTTTATCATGTACTGTGGCGACAATGAGATCGACGCGGAGAGAGCTGGGACGTTGAAGGGATTTTCGCAAATATGGGAAAAGACAAAAGGCAAATATCTGATACTGCGTGAGGCTTATTCCGAGAAACTTTCAGTATGATCAAGTATTCATTCACAATAAAGATTGAAACTTGCACTCGCATTTTTTGCTCATGTTTATTGAGTCTAATTCCAGTGCTAAGTAAAATTTCTAAGTCGAGAACCCTGTACTTTGCGAGAGTCAGAACAATATCGTAATTGCAAATTCCAGATATATTGTATTCCAGCGAAATTAGTGGATATTTCCTTACTAAAAAGTCCCACTGTCCTCTTTAGCGCAGTGGCTACTAGAGCGCCATAAAATTCAGAATGAGGAGATAAATCTGAAATTCTCTGCAGTTGAAGAGTGTCCCTGAGACGAAAAGACAGCTGCTTCTCGCTCCAAAGGATGATTACGAATAGTAGAATAATAGTTAGTTGACTTAGGTTTGCGCTCTGCAACAACTCCGGCTTAATGGACTTATTCGTCCATATAACCCGTATAGAAGCTGGTTAGAGGAAATTTCGGGCTGTGACGTCCCAGTATCAAGAAAAGTTACTAATATGTAACTTTGTAGCCACGATGACGATATAAGGAATTTCAAATCTAGCTTCCATTGACTGGAAAGGTTTCTTTCAATAACCAACTCCTCAAAATTTATTCTTGCACCTGGAAGCCAAGGAGTAAGATGTCCTCTGATTACGAACCGCGAAAATGCATAATTGACTGAACTCTTAGGCGTACTTATGGAGTTGTTATGTACCAGAGCGGATGCAGAGAAGCCTTTATCCGAGAGAGAGCAAGCCAGAAGAATGAGAAGTATACGACTGTCACGACTATATATGGCTGGCTTATTTACATAAACAAATAGGATATCATATCATATCATCAAGCACATCATTCCTCAATACCTCCCTCCTAAGACAAAGAAAATCTATATGTCTTCTTCTTGGGATTAACATGTATCATGTAATGATCAGGCTGCTTTCGGTGTCGAACTGGATACTTCTTAGAAGTTGATGGCTTCTTCATTGTTGGTGACAGTGTGGATGATATAGGCTCTTGACTCGGCATATTCGTATCAAAGTAATGGCTTCTTGTTTTTCTTCTGGATGTGTGTTCGTTTCTTCTTTGGCCTTCACTGCACTTCAGATCTTCACTGCGCATCTGATTGGCATGTCTTCTCCAGAGAAGCTTATCTTCCGTCTCCGCATCGTATAGAAGTTTTACTTCTTCCGTTAGTTGTTCAGTTAATGGCGTAGGCTTCATTCTGACTGGTCGTCTCAAGAACGATTTATCTGGAGACCGGCTTACAGGTGGCAAGGCACATAAAGTTGGCCGATTCTTTTTGACAGTCGGAACAGCTTCTTTTAGGAATGACTTCGCTTTGGCTTTTGAACGTCGTTGCAATATGCAGTCAAACTTTCTTGAAGATTTCTTTGGATCCAAGACAACTTGTGCCACTTTGAAATCTTCTTTCTTTACTGAAGGGCAGTAGTATTTATCTTTCAACTTCCTGTATGCAGGTAGTTGAATGCACCACTGTAGACCGAGTAGATTTGTGTGGGCAGCGACGTAGCAGTATCCTTCACCATGGATAAGTTTGTTTGCCCTTCGATCCGTCACGACAAAATTAGTATAGAATCTTCCCGCAGTTTTCATCGGTAAACCATCTGCCGTTCTTACTAGCAGAGAGCAAGGTTCCAAACTAGGCGATCCGAGCATCTTCCATCGCCGTCGGGATATCATTGTGATATCAGAACCGGTGTCGAGTTGAAAGGGTAGCAAACGACCTTTCATTTTAACATTGACATATGTACGAGCGGCCTGTGCTATGGAGGTAATGGAGCTCTTGTTCTTATAGTTCCTGCTGCAGTGAGTCCTTTTCTTTCGTAAATTATGTTCTGCTTGTCCAGCTCCGGAAGGTGGACATAATCTTTATGAGCTTGCATTATCACATTGGATTTTCCGTACCGCCTGTACTGTGTACTGTCCTTCCATATGTGCGTTATCGTTGTTTAACGCTGTTAGATTCTCGCATTCATTGACGAGTTCTTCAATCGTCAATGTTCCATCTTTGAACGTGTCTAGTCGCTGGAGCATCTTCAAATGAATCTCTCGCAGTGAAGGGTCTTGGAGTCCTGCGATGAATTGCAACGTCTTCAGTCCAGCGTAGTTCAGTTCCTTCATCTGCGCCTCCTCGTCCATGCGCTTGATCTGATTCGCGTAATCGCGAAAAGGAACGTGTCTTACCGTAAGCGGTGGACACTCTATTTTAAGGCACTCATACCTTCTTCGTACGAGTGTCTTCTTGGACGCGAACAGGGTCGCCAACTTGGCGACTGTCGTCTCGAAGTCCACATCATGTGGTTTCGATGGGAGGATATCGTCTGCGTATCTGCGGTATGCCTCTTCGCTCATCTTCGTCAAGATGAGGTCCCTTTTTCTATCTTCGGGCACTTCGGCCTGCCTGATCATGGGGCCGTACCTGCTGAACCAGTAGTTAAAGGTCGTACCTGAGTCCTTGTCAGGCACAAAGTTCTGCACGTCGCGGGCAACTTGGTCGCAGGCTTCTCTTCTGTCTGGTTTTTGGTTCTTCTGAAGTGTCTTGAGCAGCAGCATGGTTTCTTCATGTTGCGCACTCATCGCTTCTTGTTGAATCCTCATCTGCTCGATTAGAGCAGTGATGAGGCTGCCATCCAGCGAGTGTTCTGCCATCCTTGATCTGGAGCGTTCACCGTCCTTGTTGAGCGTTCGGCTGTTCTCGGCATAGTGAGCTCCGTCCCTGATCGCCACTGTTATGTACCAGAGCGGATAGAGAAGCCTTTATCCGAGAGAGAGCAAGCCAGAAGAATGAGAAGTATACGACTGTCACGACTATATATGGCTGGCTTATTTACATAAACAAATAGGATATCATATCATCAAGCACATCATTCATCAACAGGAGTTATACTTACTATATACAGATTTTAAGTCAAATCATAAATGAAGTTCATGATCTGGGGTTTGAAGCCCTCGATGAATGCAAACAACTATGATTTGTGCATCTTCCAAAGCATCCCTTGAGAAATTTATCGGCGTAATTTCGTAATTTCGGCTTCTGATGATAGTTGTTACAACCCCCTGCACGTAAAACTAAACAAACACATTCGTGCAGACAACAAGGGCAGTGTTATCCTTGCGATCGATGGTCTGTGATCGTCAACATACTAAAGCAAAACAACAACAACGGAGCAAAGGAATCGATGTGTGAGACTCGCCCACAGCACAGGCCAAACAACCATGAGCGGTTCCGAAAGTGGGTTTGTTTCCTAGTTCTGTTTGCATCGAGAATAATTCGTTTTAGCAGCCTTCCACAAGTGTTTTATATAAAACTTGTAGTCTCAAAAATATGGATGACATAAATGTGAACAAAATTAGCTACACTTTTGAATTTTTAGAGGTTTCCAGAGCTCCATTTACAAAGTACTACGTATGAGTTTTTTTTACTTAATGAATTGTTTACAGAAGCGCAGTCGACTCTCCAACCGATTTTTGATCAATATTGGAAGCATTTCGGAGATTCACAAATCGATAAGGTACAATATTTATTCTAGAGGAAAATCATGGTTTCTAGCTGACCTTATTTTCTTCGTTTACATCGAGAATTGAATTTCTAGCATTCCAGTGTCTCACATTTTCGCAGAAGCAATACATGACAGCGAAAGCAAAATTTCGAGCTTTTTGTTCCGAATTTGTTCAGAGCTGGATCATTCTAGATAGAAAAAAATTGCCTAAATGAAGGCTTTCGTTAATCGTTGCATAAGTCTCTCTTGAACCGAAAAAAATACGCGCAAAGTATATGCTATGCTCCAAAATTGATTTCTGACTTTTCTAAACAATAAATCACTAAACGCAGTTCTTGTACGGAGGAACCATTCGCATTTCTTCCTGGTATTCTTGTTCGATGATCCATCTTTTAAGCAGAAAATTTTCTTATTCATGAAAATTATTTAGGCTCTTGAATTCTATCATCCAGACGCCGTCCTTATCGAAACTGGAAAGTCTGGGCTGTATGGCAAGGACGGTGAGCGATTCGGTGTCCTTTAGTTTGTACCCAAGAAAATTTCTTTATTGCAGCGATCAAAAGAGAAAAGCTCAATTTCAGTCAGCAAACCGGCAATGCTCCGATGAAGGTATCGAAATTCTCGAAATTGTTGCTGTATTTCCATCTGTTTGTTTCAGTGCCTCAATGAGAAGTACCAAATGACTGATGATTACATAATCTACAATGCTGACTACGAAATTAACTCGGAAAAATCTGGAAAGATGAGGGGGAGATTTTGTCAAATTTGGAAAAAGCTCAACAACAAATACCTTATTCTTCGCGAGGAATATTCTGCTGCCGCATAGGAATCTCGACTGTTATAATTTGGTATTATGTACATTTTCATACTGTATATGACAGTGCTTATTGAGCATGTTTCACTTGTAGTTCCTTTTTCTTTATCATAACCAAATTCTATGATCATCCCATGATAATTTTCTCGAATGAATTTTTGCTTATATGTGTTAACGGTAAATACCTTACGAGACTGGTGTTTCTTATATATCAGATAACGACCAGAATACGTTCAAGAACGTTATGTGGAACTTCTGCCAAGATTTTAAATGCCTTTCTCCTTATCCAGTCCCGGATATCATGCTATGCATTTGCGAAAAAAAACATCATGAATTTGCTTTATTTCCAATGAAGACGTCTCAAGACATCCATATGAGGTAATGTCGCACTCCATCTTCAATGATTTGCTTGTCTAAAGCCTTCTCGCGGAGTTCGAATTCCAGCCAAGATTTACGGTATACAATAAAACGCCACGCTTAATTGGACGATAGGAACTTTTAACAACAGTGATTTTGTGTTTGTTCCGAAAAATTCTGGCTCTAATCTTTTTTGAAGTGTTTTTAATGTGTTGTCTAGACTAGCTCAATTAAATAGATTTTTAGATCTCACAAGGGAAGGATACTCGGTCGAAGTGGCCATTTGAAATGAGCTGTATATTAGGAAACCGTCCTCCGTAAGGCAAACTCAAAACTACTTTCGCTAGGTGCCGAGCGGTTTTGTGGGGGGAGTTACAAGGCCATTTTTCTTCCGGCGCAGCCAGCGCACCCAGTGATGAGCGAGGCGTTAGAATAACGGGTCAGTGTGGCAGTGGCGCAGTGGCAACGTAGCGGACTACGAAGCAGATGGTCGAGGGTTCGAGTCCTGTTGCTGCTACTTTGTTTTGCAGTTCTGTAAAAAGTCTATTGGGTGACAGCAAACGAGAAATACTATTTCTAGGCAGTTCAAACAAGCTATTTACTGCAAAAAAGTCACTATTTCTACAATAAGCCATAATCTTTTACAATATGTGAATCTGTGGAGGTTATGATGTCACAACAATGGGTTCAAATGATATATTAGCATGCATGGAATACAACCACAGAATGCTCAAAGCAGAAGAGCTTCTCGCCGCGCGCACTTGCAAAATTGCAATCGATTCACATCCCATTTATTGGCTCTTGATTAGAACTTTACCTTGCATCATAGGAATTCCATCCTTAAGATCTTATCGTTCATTTACACACAATTTTGCTCGCCGCGATTCAAAAATTTGCTTTCATACCCATGGATGCAGCCGGATACATTCACAACCACGCCGGCGAATTCGAGTCTCCTATTCAGTACTGTTTTTCACCGACTTTGATAGGCAATTGTGAAGCTGCTGATTGTCATAGGCAATTGTGAAGATGCTGATTGTCATCGTTTCATTTTATCCGATGTGCGCGCTGCGGGAAGCTCTTCTACTTTGAGCATTTTGTGGTTGTAATCCATACATGTTAATATATTACTTGAATCCCTTGTTGTGACATCATAACCTCCACAGATTTACATATTTTAGAGGATTATAGCTTATTGCAGAAATAGTGGCTTTTTTGTAGTAACTAGCTTGTTTCGACTGCCTGGAAATAGTATTTCTCGTTTGCTGTCACCCAATAGACTTTTTACAGAACTGCAAAACAAAGTAGCAGCAACAGTACTCGAACCATCGACCATCTGCTTCGCAGTCCGCTACGTTGCCACTGCGCCACTGCCACACTGCTGCGCTACACTAGCGCCTCGCTCATCACTGGGTGCGCTGGCTGCGCCGGAGGAAAATGGCTTTGTAACTCCCCCCACAAAACCGCTCGGCACCTAGCGAAAGTAGTTTTGAGTTTGCCTTACGGAGAACGGTTTCCTGATATACAGCCCATTCCAAATGGCCACTTCGACTGAGTATCCTTCCCTTGTCAGTGAGATTGAGAGCATGTACCACCTTTTTGGTGATGAGGAAAAGCTGATGTGAATTTTTGTCACAACTTGAGATTTCTTTATAATCAGCGACTCCGAACGGTTCAATGATGGAGTAAACAGGTCCTTGAGTTTTTTCAGTGAGATTAGATTATTAGTGGCATGAATTCGAAACTATCCCAAAAAGATCGTTGTTTCCTTCGATTGTTCGCGAGAACTTGAAATCACTTGTGCTAATAGCACTTGAGCATTGTGGATTTTTGTTCGAAACATCAAATTCAGACCACGTGTAATATTTTGGTTTCAAGTGTTGTCTGCAAAGCACTTGATAACAGTGTTTATAGTGTGTTGAATCTCTGTCTACAAAAACAAGATATAGAGTCGAAACGTGGCATTGAAATCAATCACCAACATGAGCTGCTATAAAGGTGAGTTCGAAAATTCCTAGCATTTATCATCTTGAAGAGTTCAAAATTGCTCATCAATCAAAGCTTTTCTCCCTCGCATTAAAGTTGTGTAGCACAGATTGTAAATATTCTTCTTTTTATGACTGAAATAACATAAAACAGTAACAAATCCTGACTAGCTGGTGCTTCTTTTCCATAAGAATAACATCAATATGCAACTGAAATGAAAACAAAAAACTTTCGATTCAAACATAAGAAACAACATTCAAGTTTTTTTCAGACGCTGAATCCATTGTCAAGCCATTCCTGGAGCAGCATCGTAAGGATTACAACGAAGGAAATTTTGACAAGGTGAAATTAGACATATTCAGTAAAATAATTTGGATATTGTGTTAGCGTTCATTTATCTACAATTAGAAATTATAACTTTAGCTCGCTGAATACTACCATCCAGACGCTATCCTGGTCGTGGCTGGGAAGAAAGGAACATATGGAAGAGATGGTAAGTAATGAACCACATCTAGTCCCAGTCCTAATGGTTGTTTCAGCTATCAAGCAAGAGAAGATGGAATACAGTGAGCGTACAGGAAAAGCTAGCCATGGTTCCTTAAAGGTGTGCATTCAAGAACATTGAAAGCTCAAAACCAAAAAAACTTGTTACAGCTTTCCAACGAAAACTATCAGATGACGGATGATTTCATCTTCTACTGTGGAGATTCCGAATACCAGACAGAAAAGGCTGGGAAGCTCAAGGCAAAATTCTCCAAAATCTTCAAGAAAACGAATGGGAAGTATCTACTCCTGCGCGAACAATGGAACTTGGAAGAATGAGCGGCTACATAATCTTCTTTTATACAAATGATAATAAAGGCTGATCAGATGAATAATAATATGCTATCAACTACAGAAATAAAGGTGCATCTGAAAGTCTACAGAAGAGCCTCAAAAGTAATTAGTACAAAATCTGTCCCAAAAACAAGGGAGGTCAATTCCTTTCGTTGAACAGTGGTAGAGCAAGAAAAAGAGGAACTGGCTCGTCAAAACCTCGTAAATGCGTTCATGAGTAAGAATAAACGCTTTATAACGAACGAAACCTTCGAAAAAAGCTAGCTAATTTCCGAAAACCAGGCGTTTAGAAACTTTGAGTTTGCCGTTCACAGTCCAGCTCCGATATCACCTCTCAGACTTGTTAGAAAAACGAAGTACAAAAAGGGCTTCGGTTGTCAGTAACAGATTTCAAGAAGATTATCTATTTGTTGAAGTAAAGAAGGAAATATGCTGTTCATCAGAAAAAAATCTACCAAGACGAAAGGTGTAAGCTAAAATGTTTTGTGGTAGGTAACCATTATTTGCAATCGGGATAAATAAAAAATGCATGTTCGTGTAAATATTCTTGGAAAGTAGCGAAGAAATGCTGAATACTTCTCGAAAGTGGCCAAAGGTAATACAGATAGGCTTCTTCTATAATTCTACTGGATTTGACTTGTTGATCGACTACTGATAAACGTCAGCTAATCTTCGTGTATTAGTCTCTACGCATTATCTTCCAAGAATCTATTGTATTGGGTTGAGACGCGATATATAGTCAGTACTATAATCGTCGAATACCCATTGACAATGCCACCAAGATATCAACTGCCACGCGGGTCTTTGGAGTGACGGAGTTGTGCACGAGGAGATGTTACCTCAAACTTGGGTAATTAAACCTTTATTAACAAATATAAAATTCAAGTAAACGATATTGCAAGCGAAATATTGTACCAGCATAACATGAGATTCTTACTGTGGCAAAACGTTAGTAACAAAATACGATTGATATGTTTTGGCCTAAATAAACTGAAAGTCAATGTGACTATGGCGATGATACTGATGTGAATAAATCTAGAAAGCAGGACTAACTGCATGAAGCAAACAATGAACAGTGACGCGTGATTCGTCGTAAGGAGGAGATTACCAGCTGCGAATTTCTCGTTCCTTTTTCATACATGCAGCTACAATCTACAGCATGCAGAAAAAAGACTAGCTGCTGCGCTTGAACACTTACATTGCAAGTAAGATATATAGAATTCACGAATTATAAAATATCGGTCGAGTTTCTCGACATCTATCACGTAAACACATAGTTGAATTGTCAAACCCTATGGATACTATTATATATTTTTCTGAAAATATGTATACTTAGTATATCCTTCTAAAAACATGTACGTTTGTGATAGAAATCTTTGACGTCTCTTCTATTTTACAAAACCGATCTAGACTATGTATCCATTGTAACTTCTGCGACACGAACACTTCATCACCGTCACCCTAGAATTCCTGAGTGTGACAGGTATCGTTCATTCGTTGACCGTACGGACTGCCGACCGCGCGGCGACTGCGACGCGTGCCTTCTAACCTTGCGAAAAATGCAATCTCTTGCCTTCTAACCTTGCAGTCTCTCAAGAAAGTAAAAGACTTGTAGATCCTTCTCCCTTACGACCTCCAAAGTACGCGACGGTCGTTTAAGACTCGAAAGCATCATGCACGCGCGGCGGTCGCCGCGCGGTCAGCAGTCGTTACGGTCAACGAATAAACAATACAGTCCCTCCTATTCCTCAAAACTTTCAGCTCTGCTATTGTTCACGAATTTGGTCCATTTTAACAAAATTTTACCTCTCAGACGCAACATGGGCAAATGTCATAGAAGCTATCCATGGCCATCAACACGTAACTAGGAAAACAACAACAGTGGCGTGGTAGAAATCGATGTGATGCAGATCATCATCGATTATCGACAACAACCAAAACAAGCATGAGCAGCTCCGAAAGTAAGTTAATTTTCGTTAGAATGCTCGATTCTGATTTTTTTGAAAATGTTTTTGAGTAAATAGGCCCACAAGCAATAAAAATTCTTGAGAGTTTTTAATCAATTATGAATGATACTGCTAAAGGTAGAGCCACTCGACAAGTTATAAAAGTATCATTGGAATACAAATTAATGCACTCCATATAGGATCATTTTTTGCAGCTCGTTGGAGTAGAAATGTTAATTTTGTCTTCAATTGCATCCTGCATGTTTGATGATCTTTTTTATAGAAGCTCAGTCCATACTTCAACCAATTTTTGATCAGTACTGGAAAGACTTCGGAGAAGCCCGTATCGATAAGGTAGGTTCGTTAAGAAATATCGCGATTAGCAACAAAGTAATATCGTCATATTCAAAATTCTACCATGAAATTCCAATAGAAATTACTTGTTTACAATGTTAACCCATTCCTCACCCATCCTCCCTCTCCTTCCTCTGAGAAAAAAGAGTTCAAGCCTTGCCGTATGTCCAAGCCTTTTTCTCGGTTTGTTGTTCAAGAAGTTAAAAATTCTTTGATGAGGTACCCTTATCAAGCCTTTCATAAGGAAAAGCTAGAAGAAGGAAAGATTCTTGTATCGTTTCTGTCACAATAGAGAGTAGTTTTAGTTACGTAAATGTTTACCGTACTTGTTTACCGTACTGTTTACCGAACAAACCCACAAACGATTACTGCTGGTTTACCAAGGTAATCATTATGCAGCACAATTTTGATACCAGTATCTTTTCAAAATTTGCCTGATGACTTTCTTAACTCCTGTCTTTTTGATTCATTTATTACATTATTCAAGCATGATGTCCTTCCAACTACTCGTTACATATCAAGAAAAACAGGGGAACCATTACATAATAGAGTAGTCTTGAATAAAAAGTTTAAAAAATGGATACCATATTTAGCATTCCTAGTACATAAACGCCTTGACCCCAACTCATGGCGGTAATGTAGATGGTAAGACAAGATTATCTTGATAAGAAATCGCCATGCTATTCAAATTAGGAATCATAAAAATTGACAAATATCAGCCTGTGATACTGCTGATTAATAGCCTTCCTAAGGCTCCTCATCCTTAAGCACTGCCAATTGATATCGGATTAATAATTCTTGACATGCCCATTAGGATATTTAGGCCATTGAGTTCTACCACCCAGACGCTGTCCTTATCGAGACTGGAAAGAGTGGTATATACGGCAAGGATGGTAAGACGATCAATTTCCTGTACCTCTCAAAAAATAGGTTTTGTTCCAGAAATTAAGCAAGAAAAGATAAGATATAATGAACGAACGGGAAATGCTCCGATGAAGGTATGTCTCTGTCATTGTTCAAGAAGTATCACATTGTATATGTATATCTATTCCAGTGTTTCAACGAGAAGTACCAGATGACTGATGATTACATCATCTACAATGCGGACTCCGAAATCAATTCAGACAGGTCTGGAAAGCTGAAGGGAAGTTTCTGCCAAATTTGGAAGAAAACTAACGGCAAGTACCTCATTCTACGAGAGGAGTACTCGGACGCCTAGGATTTAGTGGTCATCATAACTTCGGTATCACATCTATGTACATTTTACTGAATATGTGTCTCATACGATTTTCTTGATTTTTGAGCTAAGTTCATTTCGCTAAGGCTCAGTCAGTGTTTCATGAATAAGAGTTCAATTCAATCCTACTGAACCCTGTTTTCTAAGTTGGTGTGAGTTGTAGGAAGCAATAATACACTTTGAATTACAATGTGGATTGTTTCGTCGCATTTTCTTGAAAGGTACATATGTCCGCAAAGTTGACTTAAGTAGATTGGACAAATATCTTGATTGCTTCTCCTTATCTCTATCGAATGGCCAGGGCATACTGAATGAAATGAAACGATTAAATCTACAGTTTTTTCGTATTGCAGACGGGCAGCATTCAACATAATTACATATTTAGTGTTTTATTAAGTTTTAGAATTACTTGAAATTTCGAAAGGGATGTATTAAATGATTGCATAGATTGTACGATCTTATCGTTTTGAAATCGATTCCAAATAAAATCGCTAAAGGAAAATGCAGCTACCAGCAATCTACAAAGTTGCTGGTAGCTGCATTTTCATCACCCATGAAAATGCAGCTACCAGCAACTTTGTAGATATTTCGGTCAGTTTTCTAGCAAAAGTCGTCGAACTTATCAAGCGGTAATTCAGATAGTTAGTAAGCCAATGGACTTTGTCTGGCATTTTTTGAACAACCTCATAGCAGGAAACTGGAGCTGTGAATGGTGACAGCCAGAAGCGCCTCTTGACCTCTCCCAAACTCACGGGGCAATGCCGACTACCACGAATAAAATGTGAACAACTACTCATTCTGAAAGCTTTTTCATGTGAAATTGGTAATTTTGCGTGGATTAAACTTTTGGTAGAAAGCAAACGCAAATTTGAACAGCTTTATGAATTTTTAATTGTTTGGATAGTCGCCATAATAGCAATAATCACGTGAGCTTCATTTTTGTGCAAAAATCTTGTTAAATGCTCAGGTAAAACCTTAGCCTATTGACCATTTACGCAATCCTTTCCTTTTTCGCCGTGTAAAGGTAGTCAACTTCTGATTATTTTTTTGAGCCTGAGTTCATGGCTTGCACATACTTACAAATACATCCACGACTCTGCAAAAGGTGGAAATACGGACCCAATTTTGCGGGCAAGAAGCCAGGTGGATCCGTTTGAGGCGCAGTTTCTGAGGGATCCACTCAACGAATCTGCTCGTCTTTTGCTTGAACCTGAAGCTAGTAGCATGCGCTGTGCATAAACTGAGCCCGGGAGGTTGGCTGAAACACTTTCTAGATTATATTGTAACAGACACACTCTCTCACACTCACACACAAAGTCACGTAAGCATCCTTAGCTCATTATTATAAGTAATGGTATTTTTCCCAAGCCTTGTCTTGTTCGCTATGCCACAATTCTAAACTATGGGAATCTATCCTTTATCCACCTTTCGCTGTTTTTTCTTTTCGGGAAAGTTTTTTTCCTTTTTCTTCGTTTCCGTGCACTCAGCATGAAGCCATAACTCTTTAAAACCGCAAAGGGTATCGCCATTTTCCGCAAAGTCCAGTGGAACTTTGTCCTTCAAAATACGAGCCTACCCGATCCAAAGCTACTTGAAACTCAGGCTTTTATCGCCATTCGGCCCGGTTGACGCTGGAACCAGATACCTCAAAGTTATGTCTGCACACAATAAAAAATTGTGCATCCTCATACTTTCCAGGGGTGTATCTTAGTTTGCACAGATAAGGAGTTCCTTATCGTAAATTACAAACATACCATTTCACTGAGTCAATATGTGCAGATCTTTTGCCTTGAGTACAAGGTTGTAGCACACAATAACACTCGTATTTTTTGAGAAAACGACGCACAGTCGCCCGTTTCATGTGACATCACCGTAGCGTGGCCATATCTCGCTTCAGAGTGGGCTAATTTTTGATTCATAGGCACCGTTCGACTCAGCTCGGTGCGGCGCATCTTCTCATATACAAAAGTACCCGCTTGGACACAGTAGGAGGCCAGATTCCACGAATCGTACCAGATTTTTGCTTATGGTAGGTAGAACAGTGGGTGCAATGAATAAGCACATTGAGTGACCTACCGTAAGCAAAGATCCAAACGATTCGTGGAAACTGGCCTCCTTTTGTGTCCAAGCGAGCACCCTTGTATATGAGAAGATGCGCCTCGCCAAGCTGAGTCGAGTGGTCCCCTTGGATTAAGAATTCGTCCACTCTGAAGCGAGATACGGCCACGCTACGGTGATGTCACATGAAACGGGCGACTGTGCGCCGTTTTTTCAAGAAAATATGAGCAGTATTGTATCTACATGGCAGTCCCCATTTGAAGTCATTGAACTTCGCTCATTAGCGATTGGTGGGATAGCAATGTAGACCAAATTAGTAAACAAAAGAGGCGCTGATTACACCGGCATGTTTGTTTTCATTGTCACTTATCGGCAGTTTGTCTTCTTTACTTGTGTATATATATATAGCCGCGGTGGAGAACAAAACGAAGTACAAATAACGATCGAATATGAGCGACAGCGAGAGTGAGTCTATTGTCTTCAAATAGGTGATCTTCAAGACAAAACATAATCATTATTTACAGAAGCCAAGTCCACTATTCTACCACTTTTCAAGGACTTCTGGAATAGTTTTGAAGCTCGAAACTATGATAAGGTCTGCTCCCTTGCTTTTTTGAACATCACCATGTTACTAAAAAGATTCGCAGGCGATAGAACATTATCATCCAGATGGAGTCCACGTCGAGGTAGGCAAGAAGGGAGTGTATGGAAAAAATGGTAAGGAAATAAAGCTATTCAAACCAAGTCATTTCTTACCATTCACCATTCCAGCAATTAAACAGGAAATGCAAGAATTTCACCAGCGCCTCGGAAAAGCAACCACAGACGTAAGTTTTTCTACATAAACACATGCGCGAAAAACCGACTTTCCGATTTCCTTATTGGTCCTTTCGAATCAAAACCAGCTTATTGCCCTTTCCTTACTGCTGTCCGTAGTCCATGATCTACTTCAGCTTCAAAGTAGATCGTATTTTGCATATTAGCAGTGGGAAGTAACTCTGCCATTACGCTATGACGGTGGTTTTACTGCGAATCAATTTAAATTTTTATCTAATTCATTTATTGAAGTGTTTAGCTTGATGACCACAAACTACCATTCTTGCCCGCTGGGATTCATAGTAAGGTCGAGATAGCATTACGGTAAAAAGAAAACAGCTACCGCAAAACTCGAAGCGACATTCTAAGCTAGGATGCTAGAGCTCCCTTTGAGGTCGAATCATCTAAAAAACATTTGCGTTATTGGAACTATGGTTTCTTGGATTGCAGTCAGGGGTGGACAATAGAATTTTTTTCTAGTGAAAAAGTGTGCCGATTTCCATGTCCAAAAAATTTTTTGAGATGCTTCTCCAGTTTTTTTTGGGGGCGCGTAAATTTAGATTTTCAGAGGAAGGAGGCATTGCAATAGCCACTGCTCCGAAAAATTCTCTTTCCAAGTGTAATTTGACTTGAAATTTTCAAGAGTGGTTAGCACAAGAAGAAGCAAGCACTCACACTTTTGTAATCCATAAATTAACTTTCAAGGTTCCGCAGCTTCCTCCCCCCCCCCCCCTCACCCCACCCCCGCCCCCCCCCCCCCCCAATCCGCTGCTATTGAGTAGTGATTTGAAGCGGCAGTATCGTATCGCGTGAATATGTTAATACATCATACTCGAAAGTAGCAGTTATTTATTTTTATAGTTCACTGGCGAAACTTACCAGATGACGGGCGATTTTATCATCATGAGTGGACACTACGAGACCACGATGGAAAAGGGTGACATAGTCAAAGGCGAATTTACCCAAATATGGAGGAAAACCAATGGCAAATATTTGATCATTCGTGACGAATATACGAAGAATTGAGCATTGAAGCTAACATGATTTGTGCCACTACTTTCTGACGACAGTAATAAATATATGTTTGTCTTACGTATTTGAGCACAAGCTTATTGTAGTTATGTGTGTCATATTTTTGTACATTTGTAGCATTTGTTTTCTTATCATCGAATGTGATTGCCCTAGAAACAATGAGCGATGGTCGGAAAAGTACAACAGTTCAGAACTGAAGAAATAAATATTTGCTTACAACTATTTACAAAGACAAATGCTCGACTCCACACCTCACAGATCATTGAAGATAATTTGCTCGCACTCCATTGTTATTCGTGCTACGTTCTACTCTGGCACACAGTTTCCGCTGGTATCATTTGAACCTGTCTAGACCAACCACAAACTCTTCGAGATTTTTCGAAGTCATTTTGTGATTTCCGCACCCACGCTGTCCAGTGAAAGTGACACCGTTTCAAGGCCAATCAACAGACGCTTACATTCTAACACAACATCCAGGCACCTTGATAACATCAGTGCAAATTTTTTGTTTTTCATCTGTCTGACAAATCATCGGCCACAATGGCGATATAAAATGCTGGAAGAAATGTATTGTTACCCACATCGACATCGAAATGAGTAGCTGCTGCGAGAGTAAGTTCGCCTAATGTTGTCAATTTGTCAGTTTATTCAACATAAGTACATATATGGGAGCCGCAACTAGATGCTGCTTACCAACAAGCAAAGTTTTTTTGCATGTACCGGGTTAAAAGATACTGTTCTGGTATAATGTGGGCAACTCACACATTAAAATCCTCGACTTTCAGCTCCAATTTACTTTTCATTGACCCTTGGATACTTGAAGCGCGTTCACTTCAGAAGTCGCAAGAGAGCTTGGAGGAATGAGGAACGAGAAAACATCATTTTGAGAAATTGGCAGCTTGGCGAGGGAGTGGGTGACATTTGCCAATATCATACCAGCAACAATCTCTTTTCTTCTTTTCTCATTTTAAAAATCTGTTTGTAAAACAATACTGACTTTACAGTAATGGGTGAAGTGGTGCTTAGAATTGAATTGCTGTTACGTCAAATTGCCCTTAGAAAATTGAAACACTTAGATATTGCCTGATTTTTACCCTTAATCTTTTTTAGAAGCCAAAAATACTGTACAACCTATTCTCGATGAGATATGGCAGGAATACGATCAAGGAAACTATGAAAAGGTTTGTGGACATCTTGGGACTTTCAGAGTTAAAGGCTTATTAATTGGAAACATTTTTATTGCCTTTCGGTTACAAAAATACGCATTACCACTGTATTTCTACATATGTATTTCTACATATTTAGCTTATGGAACATTACCATCCAGACGCAGTTTTGATTGAAGTTGGAAAAAAGGGAACGTACGGAAAAGATGGTAAAGATAATTCATTCATTCTCAGCTCAAGATGAATAATGGCATATTCAGATATCATAAAGGCAAAGAAAGAATTCAGCCAAAGAATCGGCAAAGCACATAAGAGCGACATGAAAGTAAGGTTCCCTTCTATTATAACAACATGATGAATGAATAATAAATTTTCTTAGGTTTCCAACGAAAAGTTTCAAATGACAGATGACTACATCATGTACTGTGGAGAATCCGAGCTTAAAACCGAGAAGAAAGGATTGATCAAGGGAAAATTCCATCAGATCTGGCGAAAAACCAACGGAACATGGCTACTTCTGCGTGAAGCATGGGAGTCAGATGATGTCTGAGCCTCTTCCATCCTCAAAATGTAGTGCCGCTGGATATGCAAAGTATAAATACTGTATATAAGTGTTAAATCACATATAGACATTTACTGCTGCAGAAAAAGTCAGATATAAATTAGTTTTGCTGAGCATTGGTAGCATCGATGCAAATAATCTTCAAAAGATTCGTGTTCCTTCGATTTTAAGAAACCAAGTGACTCTCTGAAAAATCTGAGGCGATAATATTGTACATTCACTGAATATCGGTAAAAACTCTAAGTGTGTCGGATTAAAGCTACGTTATTAGCTTGAGTGTGATCGACCAGGGAAAGATCCAGGCCTTTTCTAATGCATTGCTTCCCTCCTGAGTCCCCTTCAAATCAAACATCCTCCAGAAAATTTCATCTTATTCCACAATTTCTTAGGCTAATGTTGGTTTTTGAGGCCGCAGTGATAATAAAATATACCTAACAATGAGATGGACTTGTGAGTGGTTGAAAGTCAGGTCCCAAGGGCCAGCGGCCGGTCATGAGATCCCAGCAATGGAGGAGATCCCTCATCTAAGAACTGCATCGCATTCATGTAGTAACCATATTCGCAATCAATATTGCAAAAGGAATAGTTAAGTAGCCATGAACCACTCCACGATGACCAGACGTACGACAAATCTGACCTTCAATGATTTTCTATATAGAGATAGTTATTGATGTTATCAATATGTGTTGTTTTTTCGGAAGCAAAATACCCTTGCACTGTGCTTGTCGTATTTACATGAGATCTCTTCTCCTCCCTTACTTCAGTCGAATGAAAACCACAAATTTCGCCTTGGACCAGCTCTTGCGCTTCTCCGTACTCCTTGCCTAAGTCCTACCTTTAAGGAAAACATCTCCTTCAAAAGCGAATCCTACGCAAATAGGCCTTTGCCAAACGGCTTATCTCGCTTGTCATTTTCCACTACACCAGAATCTAACAGCTAGATAGTTCTCAATAAAAAACGCAATAACAAATCAACAGGTTTTCTCTATTTAGAGAGATCTATTTGACGCTCTATTCCGCATAGAGGGCGCGTAAGAGTAGAATGGTGGACAACTGCAAGTCTATTACCTCACTATAGCATGGTTTTATTCTTGGGAGCTTGTTTCTAAAGTATTGAAAACGCTTGCTGAAATCCAACATTTCCTTTACTAAACTCGCGCAAATTCTAAGGGTGAGAGACGGAAAAAAATTCGTATGAAAAGCATCATTAGGGAATCGTGGTCTCAACCTATACAGAATTTGCCCCCAGCCATACTTATGATATTCATGGTATTATTCTCTGAATTCCAAACTTTAAAAATCGTCGTTTTACCACGAGGATGATTTTTAGATAAAATACGGTACGACTGGTGCAGGCCCAGACCTAAGAGGGGCTAGTGTTCGTACTATCATGATAGATAACAATTGTGCGCTTTTGTTTTCCACTTTTCTGACGTCATGAGGTCCTACCACAACAATATAAAACGTCGAGGCAGAAGGAACGCGATCCTCTCCCTGCGAACAAAATGAGCTGTTGTGACAGTGAGTTTTATTTATAATGCCTTCTGTCACTATTTGGGAAAACTGAGATCGAATTGAGACTGATTTGAAAAATTGATTTAAAATTGAAAACTTGATTGAAAAATTGAAAGCACCATTGATTTTCCTACACAAATTTATTGCTTTGCAGAGGCCAAGTCTATTATTCATCCTATTCTTGATCAGATGTGGAAGGATTGCGATGAAGGAAATCATGATAAAGTGAGTACCGTTAAAGCCAGTTATACAACTCTATAACGTCAGACCCCATCCTCTTTGTTTTCTTCCCCAAAATTAACAAGTAGTATTTAAGATAAAGGAATACTATCACCCAGATGCATTCCTCATAGAAGTTGGCAAAAAAGGTTTTTATGGAAGAGACGGTAAGTTTTTGAACTCCTGTTTAACAGTAAAATAATTTATTCTAGCAATCAAGGAGGAAAAGTTGAGATTTTGCGAGAAAATCGGCAAAGCGGATAAGCATAACATGAAGGTAAATAAGCGAATTATCAGCTAACCTAATACCATAATCTGCGTTTTCAGCTCTCCAATGAACACTATCAGATGAGCGACGACTATATTTTTTATTGTGGTGAATCCGAACTCAAAACAGAAAAGGCTGGTACCATCAAGGGAAAATTCCATCAGATTTGGCGAAAAACCAATGGGAAATGGGTACTATTGCGCGAAGCATGGGAGACGAATGATATCTAACTTTTCATCACATTTTTATTCTGAAGAAAAGTAGAGAATAAAGTCATTGCATATCTACGTGGAAGTGTCACTGTTGCAGTTTAGTGTCTCTACCATCAAAGAAAACAAATCATATCTCATAGAGGTGCCGTATCTTGTTGCCTTGAATAAGAAAGACCGTTTTTAGTGATTTTCAAATAGGATCCATTTTATATGTAAAGCGGTTATGGATAGAATTCTAGTTATCAGTATCTCCTTATACATTATGGAAAACGAAATCGTAGACAGTAAGCATGTTTACATAACGCACTCATTTTCAACATCGCTAAAGGACATCTCAAAAAAGGAGGGTCCAACAGATAGCCAATCAATGTATGTGAGTCTCTTCAATAATAGTTGTAAGCATCCGAAACGCTGCCATCATCTCAGGCAAAAATACCGGCCATGCGGGTCCAACTTTTCGGACTTGTCCGTTACATTTGTCTGATACCAAGGCTCTGAAAACAAAGTGTAATCTTATCGACTTGATTGTAACCTACAATACAATATTTGCGAGTTCGTTGGGATTGACCTGGGGCCATGTATACGGCTAGAGAGCTCTAGTCAGCAAAGATATATTGAGCAGGCAGGAAGCTACAAGCTACAAGACAACAGCAAGAGGTCTAATTTACGAGAAACACATTAGTAGAGACCTTGGGGAGAAAAGGAATTCTGCAGAGAGAATGAAGTTCGGAAAACGAGTGTCGACCGATTATTCATCCGTCCACTGTCTAATGGCCATTCAACACAATCCGAGATGGATGAGTGTTTTCGGCTGCTTAATCAACAGTCAGAGTATATAAAGTTTACGCGACAACAACCGAAAGATGGCTGACTTCCTTACCTCAACGTACAGATCAGACTGTTCAACGGCGCGGCGAATGTAAAATGGTATCGCAAGGAAAGTTTCAAGAACATCTTGATAAATGCTCGTTCAGCACATCCATCCGCTACAAAAAGAGCTGTTATGCGTAACATGCTCAAAACAGCAGCGAACGTGTGCACAGGAGAAGAAGAACGGAAGGAATCACAAAGAAAGGCGCTGGAAATTGCTTGAATGGATGGCTACACGCTCCAGAAAGGACGTGCTAGACCATCCATTTCCATCAATGACAGCCAGCACCACCAGAAAATTCTTCTTTGTCTTCCTTTCGTTTCTGACGCGACTAGTGCTGCAGTGCGGCGATGCATTAACCGTGCGAATTTGAAAGACGATGTCATTTTGGTTGACATTCCAAGTGATAACATCAGGAAGCGGCGTACGTAACAGACTATATGACAACTATTGCAGGGTTCAAGACTGCGTGGTCTGTCCATCCGGTAAAGTTGGCGACTGCGGTAAGACTGGTGTAATTTACGAGATCGAATGTATTGAATGCAGTGCCATCTATATCGGAGAGACTGGGAGACCGTTGGGTATGAGGATAAAACACCTTGCCAGCAAGAAGAAGGGAAGTATTACCACTCCTCTTGGTAAACATAGAGTTGAATGTCACAGTGGTAATGACTTCAAAATTAGATGTACAATACTGGCATTCGAGTACGACACTGCTGTAAGAAAAGCTCTCGAGGCATTCTGGATCTATGCAAGAAACCCAATCATGAACGGCCGAAATGAGTGTTTGTCAATTACAAATGACTTTATGCCTTTCGTGACATTATGCGAGTTGAAGACCACTAGTGATTTGTCAAATATGGTATACAATGTATTCCATTACTGATACTAGTGGCATCCAAGGACGGCCGCCCTGACATCCGCGCGCCGACGGGAGAAGGTCAGTTCGTCTTTCACGTTTGGGACTTTTGTCTGTGGGGCTTTGGGGTGAAATCGAGGCAGGCAGGATGGTGGAGGTTTTTGGTGGGTTAGACAAGTCCAAATCTTTACCACTTTAGGCCTCTGAAGACGACGATTTGATCGAAACGTTAGGCCGTCATTAACAATAAAGACCTACTAACCTCGACTTGCTTACTTACTTACTAATACTGACCCATGTTTTCTCGATTCGTGTATGATTTTCTTCATTCACCTTCGGCCTACGTTTCGGTTCTCCCTTCTAAAAGCGCTTAAATAATTACATTTAGTAGGGTGAATACTGTATCGTACGTGTGTACATAGTCTCAGATGACCACATGAGATTGAGCATAAACATATGATGGCATCACATACTATATTGCTGTGCTATATCGACCGAACATCGGCTTAATCAGGTTGAAATTTCGTCTCCGTTAAGCGAGAATTACGCGTCCAAAGAATGCTTTGTAGTTTTATCCGTCTGTCTAGCAAGTGCATTTCATAATGAAGGGGATTAGTTAGTGCAATGCTTTAATCCAGTATTATGATTCGAACTTTGGCACAGATATACTATGATTGGAACTTTGGCACAGATATTTTGCGAGATACGCTTATAAACCTCTTTGCAACATCGAAAGACCACTGAGACCATCAAAAACGCTTGTAGTAGGCGTGCTTAAACCTTTTACAAGCAGCGTCTTTTGCTAAGCAACCCAAGAGCGAAGAGAGTGACTTACATTTCCTCTTGCTTATTAGCACGCAGAAAAAAATCTGAAACATGAATTTATGCAGTCAATATCTGCTCAAAAATTTGTTTATCTTGCAAGGTGAGGTCTACGAATTGAAAATATGTAATTGTAGAAGCACAGACATTAGAATACTGTTCAGTAAGTCATGCTAATTTTTGCAGCAGCTGAAACTTCTATTAGGAAATGCACAAGGAAAGAATCAAAAACCGATTTGCTGCTATGGCTCCATCAAAAAAAGTGAACGATCCCAGTAATTACGCTCTAACAATAAGAACATTAAGCTATTCATTCTGGCCACGCTGTCCTACATATGGTAAGACTAGCGTGTCCTAGTCTGTCAAATTGCTGACAAGCCTTGCTACAAAATTTTACTATCACGATTGAGGGGTTTGAATTATTAGGCTGTTACATAATCCTTGTATACTTTTACCTTCCATCTTTGCAGTAACATCCCGCTAGCGATGGTCGAATGGCTTTCGATAACAATCCGCTTACGTTGTGACTATGTGATTTTGAGCAGTCTAGGACGCTTGCGATGTTCTAGACCAGCAATTTCAGATTCGATAAAATAAATCATACGCATGTTTGTACGCTTTGCTCGACTACAGTAAAAACTTGTGAAAATGAGATGAGCTGAACGCTATTGCTAATTAAACAAGCACTGATTCAGCACGAGTCTAAATCCCTCACTGCTTACTTTTTGCCATAACACGTGTTTGGAACCAGTTCCCTGTGAGCATATAAAATAGAGCAAAAGGTGTTAAAAATTATTTCCGGAGCATCATGGTATCAGCTGAAGGTGAGCGCTTCCAATATTCATAGGCTTAAAAATTAATAACTCTAAGAGAGTCCCTATTTGTTGTAGAGGCCAAATCCGTTCTCAAACCACTTTTTGATGCTTGCTTGAAAAGTAGGGATGAGCATGACTTTGAAACGGTTAGCCTTTTTGTCCTTAAAACGACAATGGAAAACTCACACCATTTTCTGCAGGCTGTTGCACACTTCGATCCCAATGCTGTATTTGTGCAGAAGGGAAAGAGGATAATTTTTGGAAGAGACCGTGAGAGATTTTCATCGAAAATAGCATCATGTTAGTGGTGCTTAATTGTGTTTCAGAACTGAAAAAGGAGCACACTGCTTTCAAAGAGATAACTGGTAAAAGAACAGAAAAGGCAGGTCATTTCCTGGCACTCGCTAACTAACGTACTACATGTATTTTCCAGATCACCAATGAACAATATGCATTGTGTGGGGATTTCGGTGTAGTCCGCGCCGACTATGAAATACAAACGGAAAAAGTCGGTGAGCTCAAAGGAAACTTCATGCAGCTCTGGCGCAAATCCGACGGAAAGTGGCTGGTTCTACACGAAGAATTTTCGATGGATCTGGAATTTTGAATTGTACCCTAGCTAGACTTGGGATTAAACATTCTACACAGCTGAAGTATGAGTTGTGTTTGTGAAAAATACTTTTCTGCAAAAATTTTAGAACCAAAGGTCCGTCGCTTTTGGATGCAGCACGATGATATCGTTTCGGTCGACCAGCAACATTTATGTAAGCGGAGTTGTAGGGAATTCATCACATCCACAAGGCGTCATTGCGGACGCTGTCGGCGTCTCGCTGGTTCGCTCTTTTATCGCCCTTACCGCCTACTGTCTCTCCCAATCACAAAAATGTCTTTATTGAACGCAACGACGTCCAGACGGCGAATGAGGTAGTTGCCTATGTATGCTTCAGTCTTCTCTGCGATAATGTTCTTAGGCTTAACATTCAGCAAACACAAATTCCATTTACGGAAACAATGTCGAGATCCTAAATAATATTTGATTATTATACAATGCGTTTATACCACTAAAAAGGCGCATGTACCTAATGTGATACTGAGAGATCGTGCAGGATGACGCACATCATGAACTGCAGACTGATAATGGTTGTAAAAAAATACGGTAGGCTTATACAAACTCGTACTGCAGGAGGAAGGCGCATAAGTGTTAGTTGAATGGACGCGAACGCGGGGTGCGCGTGTCTTCACCGTTGTCAATTTGCTTCTCATGCTTTTGCGGCTGAAAAAGCCGCGTACGCCGCCAGAGATATTGTACTTCGTCATGCAGCAGCCTATAACTGCAACGTGAATAGGGAAAAGTACCAGCAAAAATAATGTCCGATAGAATTTGTTGTGATGATCAACTAATCTTTCAAACTCTGGCATCATCTAGCTAAACTTCCAACGAACCCTTTGACTCATCCTTGTGCTTACCTCGTGCAAATTCGCGCTCACCGTAGTCTATCAATCATAGGCGCATCGCATGCCAAAATGCTTGAATCATGGCATCTGATAACAGCCAACAACCGAACTCCGCTACCTGCTAGAGGTCGTAGTCCCTGGGTCTAAAATTTCGGGCGATTTCAATTTCTGTGCAGTTCGGCAAAATGCCGTGGTTTAATTTAAAGACACTATTAGGAACAGTTAGAGGTCTTAGGACTAGTGCCTTATGAAATTGGAGTCCTCAGCCACGCCCTTGGTAAATGCGATGCAATAAAGATTAGTAATAATGAATTTCAAGACTAGGAAATAGAATGTTCCTTTTATTGTGTGCAGGGAGTATCTTGAAATGTTTCGGAAGCTAGAAATAGCGGCGGCGCCTCAGTTTGGAGCTTTTAAAATTTTGCGCCATGTTTTTGGCTGTGTTCGTGCCCTGCGGAGAAGCAATCGCGTTGAAAGGTTTCTTGTGTATGAAGCAGCTGAGCGAAACAGCGACTTGCGTCGAATTAAAAAGTGGACAGATGGGTTACCCGTTGCCTCGCCCTTGCGACATGCACTGATCTGTGTGGTTAACAACGGACAGCACATGCATGAAACGTGACATAACCGCGCCAACAGTACTAAGGGATGGAACTGCTACCCTGTTTGGGCTTTCTCTTGTTTATTGCTCATTTTTTGCCATTAAAATAGATCATCATATCGAGTAACAACCGAGTTGCGTCACTGTAGAGGGGTCTGTGAAAGATGCTTTGTAGCTCGAGTTCCAGGATCTTTATTCTTCGCTGTCTATCCGCCTTTGTCCGCTTTTACCCTATTAACTGGATGCAGTAAATACGCTCTGCTGAGTAAGCTGAATTTCTATTGTTTTGTACGATCTCTGGAATTCTTTCGGGTTTACCACTCTTTTTCAGATTTATTTTTCTTCAATAAAACTAGTAAAAGGACAAGGATATGTTGTAGATAAAGATATGTGGGGAGTCGCACCTTTCAGCTCGTGTTTGAAAAAATAGGCGAAATATCAGAACAACGAGATTTTCGAACTGTCATGTTGAATAGGGTAGCACATCTTTACGATTCGTTGAGTTTCTGAGAGGACAATTGTTCTCAAGTCTCACTGAGTTTTTGGAAACATAAATGACTCTAAAAAAGAGTGGTGATCCTCTGTAGACTATGCAGGGAATCTTACAAAAAAAGTGAAAATTTTACCTTATATGATAACGCGCTGTTATTAAAAGTCCCTTCTCTTTCGTGACATATCTAGAACGCACGAAATAGTAGGTACATTTTGAAGAACACAGACGTGGCAAGTCAAATGTTCGAAAGGCTGCTCGTGTGTATCATCTAATCGCGAAGAACGCTTGCATTCTGCCGGTATTGCAAATACATCGCCAATGTAAATGGCCAAGTAAGCGAAAAATTCGAAACAAAAGACAAGAGAAATGATGTAAAATAGCGTTTATTCATTTCTGATAAATTTAGCAGTGCAATCTGTGGCTGCTTGAAGCGAGCTGATTTACAAAACGCTGTTGAGAACGTTGACATACCGCTGTCCACTTTCAGTATTGCCTACTACGAAATCGCGCTTATAAGGGCATGTGCTTAGCGCAAAATACTTGATCTGTCCATTCAGCAAATGCGCTAAATGTATGACTTGCGGCGTAATTAATCTTTACCATGCTTGTCATGCAGAGATGTTTATAACGGAGAGACTGGACGGCCTATTTGCTGCCGCATAAAAGAATTTGAACGAATACAAACAAGGTTCCACATTTGGGTTCGCACCGCATGGTGCGTCATAATGGTGCAGCGTTTCAAATTGGAGTGGCAATTCTACCATTCAAGCCTGAGACTTAGCAAGTAAAACTCCAGCACTTTGGAGGTCGGGAAGAATTAAAGATGATTGCAAAGGGAAATGTATCGCCATACAAGAGTTAAGCTTATCAACCCTTACGTGGATTTGATTCACAGCACATATAAAAAGAACCGAGGAGCTTGTTCTGTTATGACGCGCCGTTACAACCCTTGTGTTGTGTGGTCGTCCGAGGTTGGTCCGCCTACCTTTTTTGGCGACGCCTAAAACAAATTGCTTTGATTTCGACCTTCTAGGTCTTGACGAAGGATTAGCGAAACTGACCAATAAATAGTTGGTAGAAATCAATCAAATACCATCTACCACTTCAAAAATTATTCGGCAGTTCTTCCTCTTTTCAGCGGTTATGATCACTAAAATAATCGCCGTAGTTTGAGTTCAATGTTTTTTTTACCATGTCCAGCTTTGACAACTTTTTGCTTTTTGTCTCAAACTGTTGTGCTCTTTGATAAATTGAAAAAAAAGTACAAAATGCAAAGCAGGGTATTCTTGGGCGTGCTGGCTTTTATTTTCACGTTTTTTTGTTTCTATCAGAACCATTCTTGGTCAACCCAAAACTCGTAGAACATCGGCCGGCGAGCAGTTCAGCTGTCATCCACATTTTCTCACAGATGTTTTTCTTTTCAAAGCCTTCGCGGATAAAATCATCATTTTTGTTTTTGAGCGCACCCCAAGCTGTACTGAAAGATTGCAAAACTGATCTTACAAGCGGCAAAAGCTTGTTTTCTTTGCGGATGTGTCGCATAACCGTGCAAGGTAGAATTTGGTAGCACTCAACCACAACTGGTTTAATGCTCTGATGCTGGAGGGCAGCACAGTGAGAGGATCGCTCAACTATTCAAAAATCTAATAAATCTAAATCTTCTGCTAATATGCCATGAAAAATCCCTGAACCTTCACGGATTATCCATATCACAAATCATGGCTCTATTGAAAGCGTGTTTAGAATGTAATACTTTTCGATGGTCTGAGAGCTACTTTATGCAAATACGAGGACTAGCAATGGGACAACGCTTAGCACCGGCACTCGCGATAGCATTCATGGCCAAAATAGAAGCGCCTGTTCTGGAACCGTCCCTTACTCTACTGTAGATATATTGATGATTGCTTTGTGATTTGCGCGACACAAGCAGAGCTTGATGAATGCTTTGAATTACTCAATAAGCAATCAGAGAATATAAAACTGACGAGAGAGATGCCGGAAAACGATTGGTTACCGTTTCTAACGTGCAAGTGAACATCAGGGTATGCACGTGACGAAGTGGTACCGTAAACCGAGCAATAAGAATATCCTGATGCATCTTCAATCCGTTCACCCACCTTGGGCAAAAAGAGCTGTTATTAAGATTATGTTCCGAACAGCTTCGCAGGTGGAGAAAAAGAAAGAAAAGAATCACTCAAGCTTGCGCGCCAAATAGCTTCCTCGAATGGGTACGGGAACTTCACAGGTACAACGAAGCACGGAAAGAGTTTGCGAGACCGACCCAACGAAAAGATCCCTTTTTACGTTCCGTTCATCTCCAGGGTCAAGCGTGGGGTGCGGCACACCACACCTGGGGGGTCTATTGAGGAGTCAAAGGGGAGGAGGTCGTAGTTGGGTAATCTGATAATAGTGATAACACGATATTTGTATCATATCCATAATTAGCATGTCAATTAACTCCTGTAGACAAAGTGTGAGCGAATTCTGAAGTCAAGATACTAGGCTACCCAAATGAAATGGTCAAATTCCAACATGGTTAACTTTGTTTCAAAGGTGAGTTAGCTATCCGTTTCTGCACTCAAGACAAAGCACTACTCCTTCTTTGTCCACCTCAGGAATCCCGCTTCAGAAGACCTCCAAACTGTGGAATTAGAAGCCAACCAAATTCTCATTTTTCCCATTTTCGCTTTTGATCGCTGTGCTTTCACCAAATATTACTCAGAGCTAAGAAAACGAATCAGGCTCCAAACAGTCCTATGTCCTACAAGGTGTTTGGGCTATCGATTCATATAAATACTCTCCGCTAAAAATGTTTTTTTTTATATAGTTAATGGGGTGCGGCACACCCCCTTAACTTGCATTCAAAATCCAGAAAGCGCTCTATTGCTGGTATGAGTATTGAGCACATAACTTCTTCTTTCTACACTGGAAATTTGGAACCGAACGCCCCACCCATAAGAAAATTATGGCCCTTTCAATATACCCATTCAGATCAAAATCAGCCGTCAAATTACGTGTGATTGTAAAGTGCAGTCACAGAAAATCGGGCGTACAGCTCTCAGAAATGTGAAAACTCTCTAGAAAAAGCTGGTGTCCTCCAGAATGTCACACTTTGAGGTCCAGAGGTTAAGAGGAGGAAGAAGGGGTCGTTTGAGGGCTTTCATAAGAGGGGGGGGGTTGTTTTCGAAAGACTTGTGCCTGACCTCTTTCTCAACTCTGGTAATGCTATCTTAGGTATATAATTTAGGGGGGGGGGGAGGGTCGTAACCAGCGATCGTGTGCCACACCCCTTGCTTGACCATGTTCATCTCCATCGAGATAAGTACAGCAATGCGCAGAAGCCTTAAGAAAGTAGGACTAGTTGATTTGATGTCGATAGTAGAAGTGCCACCGAACAACCTGAAACGCATTTTAGTAAGAAATCGCATGTATGATAGCCGCTGTACTACGGATAATTGTATCATATGTCCAGGAGGTAGAAGAGGGGATTGCATGTCAACTAGGGTGGTCTACTCCATTTCCTGTACCGTCTGCGGAGACGAGTATGTAGGTGAAACCGCACGTCCCTTATGTATTCGTATAAAAGAACACCTAGATGGCAGGGATAAACAGCGAACTTCTACTCCGTTAGGAACACACAGAGTACTAAGGCATGAAAGATCGAGTTTTGAAGTGACCGTAAAGATATTAGCACGTGAACCTAAGACGGCTGCTCGCAAGTTTCTGGAAGCATTGTGGATTCATGCTAGGAACCCACAAATTAACCGTAAAGAAGAATGCCTCGCAATCACGAGAGAACTATCTCCTTATCTGAGCCAACTATGCTGACCTCCCATTTAGTACTTCCATATACGGTCAGCCCAGCGGTCGTTCTACCAAGGGTGTTGTTTAAGTGGTGAGTAACTGTTGCAAAGCTAGTTGCCAAAATTAATCTTAGACCTTTTTCGTAAGGCCGTAAAGACATTTGCCCGTCTGGGTTACGAATCGATACCCCATTCAGGTCCTGACGAAGGCGAGAAGCCGAAACGTTGGCCAATAAAGTTTGTAACAATCTCGGCGTTGCTACAAGACATCAATCTCAACTTATCGAGAGTCGTACATGCTATTCAAAAATCGTTCTTCATGTTTCCTTTCCACTTGGTAGGTAAAACATTCTTGGCAATCTTGCATTCAACAAGGTAGAAGATGGACTTGAATATTGATAAGTCCAAAAACGTTATTTGAATTCTCATGAACTCATTAAAAGTGATAGTAAAAGTTTTCGCTCAGTGGTGATTGATTTCAAACATGATAAAACTGAGTTTGATTCCAGTGTTTCAAAATTGGTTCAAATCCAGCAGCTATTGAATGTTTTTTCGCACTACGTGTAATCTACAAAACCAGTTCTGTGAGCATATAAAATTATCAAGAAAGCACTGAATGTGCACTGCACAACAAGCATGGTATCACCCGACGGTAAGATTTTCGTAAAATCTAGCCAGTCTTTTCTACACTTGCCTAGTAATAGAGTACTTTTATAATAGAAGCCAAGTCCACTATCAAACCGCTTTTCGATGACTGCATAAAACGTCGGGAAGAACACGATTTCGAAACGGTTGGTCACCTCCTTGTTCTGTTATGATGGAGCTTTGAATACAATGTGATTACAGGCAGTTGCATACTTCGATCCTGACGCTGTTTTTATTCAGAAGGGAAATAGGATGATTTATGGAAGAGAACGTAGGGCGTCAGATATCAAGGGCAAAGTGTAATTTTTTGCGTTTCAGAATTGAAAGAAGAGCACGATGCCTTCAAGGAAAAAAGTGGTAAACGAACAACGAAGGTTACCAATATTTTCAGTTCCGTTCACAACCAACCGCAGCTATATTACAGATTACCAACGAGACATATGAAATGGATGGCGATTTTGGCATAGTACACGCTGACTATGAGATTGAGACAGAAAAGATAGGAGTGCTCAAAGGAAAACTTCTGCAAATTTGGCGTAAATCTAACGACAAATGGCTAGTTATACATGAGGAATACCTAATGGATTTGAAGCTCTGATCTAAGTTTGCTTACATTTATTGGATTGGATATGCTGCTAGTTGTGGGCAACAGCTATCTTGAGAAAAATTTAAAAAGAAATTATTTTGTGTGGGATTCATGTGTAACCATCACGCTCAAGACTTTCTGCGCTTACAAATAGTGCATTATCTGCAAGTGCGGAGAGTCAAAGAGATGCTTTGAACTGCAACCGCAGATGTTCTACCTGAAAGAAGAAGAATTGGAAAGATACGAAGCGGCGAAAAAGATTAAACATGGAAACAACTAGGAAACACGACAAGGCGAACGCACCGAGTAAAGTTAATAAAACGACCATAGCTTTTGTAACAGGCTGCTGTGTCAGCTTAACGGCTTCGCTACTTGGCTGCGATCATATCGTTGTTGTTGGTCGAAAATTTCCTGCGGAACCCTCGTCAATTTGATATATTCTCCCCTTAATTCTAGGAATCATTTGCTGCGTGTGCGTTCGCATATTGCGCCAAGCTACTGATGTCAAAATGAGGTACTCTCCGACAGAGAGAAAACTTACTCAAGAAACAATTGAGAAAAGTGTGTACTACTACAACCGTAGATATATCCGTCACTACAGCAGAGCGTGATTTGACCGATCTGTTGACGATTGTTATGACCTGCGCCAAAAATCGAGTCGCTTTGGCACATTACCAAAGGCGTAAAAGTAGGAATAACAGATAGATTCATTCCTTCATTACTCAGAGCCATAAAAGATGAGAAGAAGAGTGCCTAAGCCACATATTCATGGTAATGGATGAGTTTCCCATAAAATCACATAAGGTTTTGGAAAAAGAGAAAGCCGGTGACATAAATATCAAGGTACGGGGAATCTCAATTTGAGCCATGATCGGCCCTCGGGTCCGGTCCACGCGAGGGCCACTCAACGCATTCGTGAACGTCTCTCGAGGCATTTTCCCAAGCTCATCAGCCATTGATGTAAGGTTGGGTTTATAGCGGGTTCATAAGTTCCGGAACAGTTCCAGCAAAACTCTCGAATAGTGCGCTGTACTGGACCTACTCCAGTGTTTGGAACTTACAGATCAATAAACTAGCTTAAGGATACGGTATAAGGTATTCTCCCACACCTCAAGCGTGGGAGAATAAATTATCCGCTGACGGCGAACGCGATGAGAGACCCAAGTGGCTCGCGAGACCCGAGCTGCGCCGACCGTTGAACTCACATCAAAAACCCCTATATGCGCAGACTCATTTGACTACAAGCACCTTAGACAGTAACGAAGTAAACGCAATTAAACAACCGCGTGCACAGCCTGCTCTCAGCTATGATGAAAGCTGAAATTATATGAGAAACATTTCTTTTCTCGTTGACCGTGCTACTTATTTATATTTATTTATCTGGAGATACACTCATGGTGCACCTTCAGAAAAAAAAGCAAATTCGAATAAAATACCAGCCAGTCTTAAATACAGGGAGATTGTGATATGTAAAAAGAAAAACAAACCAAAATGCTCCAGATTAACTGAAACACACGAATGTGTTTGCCTACTGAATACCAGAAAAAAAGTTCTATGAAAGGAAAAGCTGATTAATAAAAGACAGAGTAACAAAAAAGGCATAAATATCAATTTTGGAATTCTCTTATAGAGTAAATTGCATTACTCATCATAAAAAATTGTGGTTATAGATTAATTGGAACTGATCTATTAGGGTTTCCACGATAGCTGCTGGATGATGGTAGAGCTGAAATTTACCTGGCGACGAACTTCAAAAGACGAAGGCAAAGTTGACATGCGGTGAGGGTTAAGAACTCTGGGGGCAACAGCGATTATTTGAAAAAAGAGACATGTGGTGAGCAGAGTAATCAAGCAAGGATCAAGAACGCGGAGCAACAGCAATCATTTGAAAAAAGAATCTCTATCATCTTGAGTTTTGTCAAAGTCACTTGCCAACAGTCCTCTTCGTGAATACCTCTGCTCTTATATCGTTTTTTCCTAACTAACGCAAACGCAATGGAGTAAGTGCGTCTTCTTGACTTTTGCCGCTCATTGTTTTGATAGTAGATAAACAGACGTGGTATTTCTTCCATGTCCATGTCTGCATGAACAATGCCTATAAAAGGTTTTGCCTTTTACATCATCGCTTCTGCGTTTGAAAGCCGATTACTGACAAAGTTAATATTCTCAACTTTCAACTCTCACAAGTAGTTCTATTTGTTGAGCGGCAGAAAACTTCATGATGCTTAGTGACATTGAAATACAGGAGCAACAATGCATGAGATTCAATTGTTAAATGCTTGTACAAAAGATAGCGCGAATTTAACAACTAATCCTTCGCCGATATTTGACAAACTTTGAACTTTCTTCAGCTGTCGTGCTAATAAGGACCGTTCCAACTCAAAGGCAGCGTCCACCCAGAATCATGCATCCCAGATCACTACTAAGTTAATGAGCAGCCCTATATGTATACTGAATGTGTTCCGTTTCTTTAATGTTGCCCACAGAATGAGAAAACGGACCCGGATCTTTTTTCTTCTCCCCTTTTCTAGCGCTCCACCCAACCACGGATTAGCTCGGTAACGTTCTGACATAGCAAGCAACGTCAAGACGCATACCGTGTGATGTGGCACAGCATACGACGAGGTTTCTCGTTGCATACGATGTGACTAGTGCCGAAAAAATCATCTAAGCCGTCGAAAACACAGTACAAAGAAGGGAAATTTCAAAGTCTCCCCGTAATCTGCACCTCATTTTCGAAACCGTGGCCTCAAAGATGCCGATACAATAAACACAGGAGTCCAAATTTTGAATGGACGCTGTCTTTGAGTAGCCGCTTTGAATGGAAATATTCAAACTTAAACTTACCGATCGAAATCAAATCTAAATGATCTTTTATTTGGGTTTAATATGCTTATGTCTGGTTGACTGTGAGATTATTAGCGTACTGTTACGATTTTTCCTTATTGTAATAGCCTAAGATTGGGTTTTTCGTTTACGTATCACATTAACAACAGTAGCGAGTACTGTCCACCACACTAAGAGTGCCCAGCCCGTAGCAGCCCGTAGCAGCCGCCAGCAGCCGCTAGCAGCCCGTAGCAGCCGCCAGCAGCCCGTAGCAGCCCGTGGCAGCTCATAGCCGCCGCTGGCCCTTTTCGTTATACGAGCAAATTTATCAGAATCTTACAACTATGAGTGCTCCTGTCTACGCTTTTCATCTCCTACGCTTTTCTTTTGTTGCAGCCAGTACGCAGTTTGATCACATATCATATATGTGTCCATTGTTGTTATTACCTTCTCGCCGTATGGTCATCCTGTTGAAAGATAGTTCGCAGAAGATTCTTTCCGTTGTAACGCTCTGACTTTGGATGCGTCCGGTTCCTGCAGGTGTGCAATTTGTTTTTTGGGTATGCTTTTGCTTCAACTTTTCCTTGGCTGTCGGTGCATATCTAACTTGCATTCTACTATTTCGCAAGTTCGCCGGGATTTATTTGCGGGTTGAGTTCTTCTGGCTTTGATAATCGCTCACATCTTTTTAAATAGGAGAGACTGCAAAAGAATGTGAGCGCGATAGGATACAATGTGCGGAACAGAACAATGAAAACAAATCTATTGTGGGGGAGTTCAACTGCATATTAGCGGTTATATGAAGAAATAAGCGTAAAAGATGAAAAGCGTAGCAGGAGCTCTTAAACTAGTAAGATTTTGACGATTTTGCTCCTATAACAAAGGCGGCCAGCGGCGGCTATGAGCTGCCACGCGCTGCTACGGGCTGCTGGCGGCTGCTACGGGCTGCTAGCGGCGGTTGTCGGCGCGTTATGAAGGCACCCTAAGGAGCAAGGCTCGGCATGATATGGCTTTTTCATCTTTTCAAAAACGAAGTTCCCATAGACTTCGCCACAAAAATACGATGTTCACCTATGACGTGAACATGAATGGCTCAAACACTAATAACAAAAAATCATGGAAAACATAAAAACAATATTGAATAGACAAAAAGGAACTAAAGAAGTTCGTATTCTCCGAATCAGCGGCATGCTGTGTCCAGCGCGCACCATTGCGCCCTTGGAGCAGGCTTGCCGCCGTCATACAAAATATTTGGAGGGCTGTAACTAGGCGAGGAGGAGGGGATTTGGGGAGGTTCAAGCATTCAGTTGTAGGATTTTAATGTAGAATAAAGTTATGTTGAACTTGTGAAAAAATTATGTGAAAGACGCAAAATTTATGATTTTTAAAATTCACGGCCAAATCAGATGGCTGTCCAGGTGATTGGAAAGCCACCTGACTGAAAAAATTTTGCCACATTCGGTTCACATAACCTATTTGAAGTTTTTCCTATATAGTCGAATTCCCTATTGCCCATCTACACAACAATTTTGCATTTCATTATCTCTTCGCTGTAACAAGGCTTTTGTTTAGTTCGGAACAGGCTTTTGAATTCGCGCGCCTAGCCGGCGAACTTGGGAATGGGAACGATAAGGCAGAAATGGCAATCTGCGTCCTCTATAAAAGATGAAGGGTGACATAAGAGTGAAAAATGATTGTGGGGGAGGAGGAGGGGGGAGGGGGTGGGGACTGCGGTTTTAAACGACATCCCCCTTGCTACCCGAAACGATACCCAGCCTGCGGTAAGCCACCTATGCCGGCCCTGCTCAGGAGAGTGGTAACAAAGTCATTGGCAGCATCTCCGTGGAGATACACAAAATCTTGGATTAAGAGGATGGAGTGTCTCTAGGCACAGTACAAAACAGACTATATTTGTAAGGTGAGCATGAAAATCGTGACTATGCTAGAACAACGTGGTCAAAGTTGCACTGTCTAAAAGCTAATCAATAATCAATGATACGATCAACACCAGCAACTTCGTTACAAATGCATGAATTTCTTGCCGTTCAAACTAGTCCTAGTTGAGCGAATAAAATGATGGTGCAGACATTCTTTCCATTCAGTATCAAACCATGGAATCTTCCGAAGGTGAGCTTTTGTCTCAAGAAATATTGTGCTTCCTGTTAGGGTAGATGCCTTGTACATTTATGCTACTTCCTTAGTTGTTACGAAAGCTATTTTGTCAATATGTTTTGCATGCAGTATGGAATGTGGAGCAAAGCCCAACTTTTCGTTTTTATAGAAGCCAAATCCATCCTCAAGCCGTTTTTCGAAGAGATCTTGAAGAATCGGGAAGAACAGAATTTTGAAAAGGTTAAATTAACGTTCAGATATTACAATAACTGTTTCTCAGTAACTTGTGCGACCTACTTACCGCTACTTACCTGCTAGTTATGAACGAGCTGAATGAGCTCTTGCTCCCCCCTTCCAGATTCTCACATCTCTTTACTAGTGATATTTTGATCCAAATGTTCGCATTTCCATATTCGATGTCAGCTTGTTTTGCGTCATCGCAAGTCCCATTTCACTACATTTCTCTTTATCAGAGGCGTACCCAGGATTTCGGCTCGGGGGGGGGGCGACAAAATTTTTTTCTACTGAAGGTGCGTGGCGTCAGCCACGCACTCCGAAAATTTTTTTTGGGATGTTTCCGAAGATTTTTCCTGGCCCCTGATCCCAAAATTTCAGAAAAAGGGGGCGTGGCGGCAGCCACGCCCCCGAAAACTTTTTTTACAGGGCTAATTTGAATTTTTAAAAATTTTTTAAAATTATTTTAATTACTTACAAGTAAAAACAAGTCCTCTCCACATTTTTATAATACATTCAAGTAACTTCCAAAAATTTCGCGACCCATTCTCGGGGGGGGGGGGGGCCCGCCCCCCCCCCCTTGGTACGCCGCTGCTCTTTATCTTTAGCTTTGGTCTTCTTGATCTCTATTATAGGACATCCACTAGCATAAACGATAATAATTGTGATAACGGTGCGTATGTTTATTATTACTTTTCAAAGACTCCCTTTTTTCCTCCAATTCTCAAGAGAATGACGCACTCGCAGAGGGTTAGGGACGCAAATCCATCATCCTCTTACAATTCGCAACACTTTCATATAGATCATAATGACTTGTCTTTGTATTTTATATGCCTCGCTGGTAAGATCCCATTTCTTCGAGCTAATGACTCTTTCTTGAACTTGTCTTTCCATTCATCATCTGCCATGGGGCATAGAATCTTGTCTCCATCACGCCGAACTTTTGTTCCCCATTACAACTGCATCACCAGTATTAACCGCGATGTAAACTCTATGCTACAACTGGGATTTGCAGGTAGTATCCAGAAAGATGTACAACTTCTGAAAATAAGCAGAAAAAAGCGATTTATTGTATCATATTTTGTTATGCCACATTCATCCATTTCTTCGGTTATAAACGCTTTCAAGGAAACTTTTTACAGCGACTAAATACCGAATTATATATGCTGTTCTTCTTGCAAATACCCAACACCAGCTCCTAAAAATGGAAATCGCCTAAGCAGTCATTTATGTAGAACAGCTGATCCAACCCGAAATTCAGGCTGACTTTCAGAATGTGCGACGGCCTCAAACACATCGAGCTTCGCGATCATGCACACCTATACTCTCCTTATCATGTCTCGCCAAGAAACGGTCATTTCTTGAAGCGAGATCAAATTTCGCTCAAAGCTTTCTCCTGCACAATCTTAGCAAACATGTTCTGCCGCATGAAGCCCCTGGGTTTTCCTTCCCCTAAGACCAACTTCCTTTGCTTTTTCTGCTTTTAGGCGCAGAAGTACGATTTCCTCGAAGTAGAAGCGTTCAAAAGTGAATATCAATCGAGCTTTTGTATAGCTTTGAACCTAAGAAATTCTTAGCGAACAGTTTGCCGCTTGAAGCACTTGGAACTTTTCTTTCCTTCGAGACCAAGCCCCCTTTCCTTTTCTGCTAAAGGACAAAAGGATTTCTGCGAAGTAAAAGCGGCCAAAGTGAATTTCAAGCAATATTATAATTTAGCATTGATCTTGCCGCATAAGCCCTCGGGACCTTTTCTCCCCTCAAGACAAGTTTGCTTCGCTTCTTTATTATACAGTGCTGGACATAATTATAGAGACACTCTAGAAATCGTCGTAATTTTCGTTCTTGGCAGTGAATCTGTCTGAAACTTTGCTGTATGGTGCGCATGTAAGCCTACCATAACTCCTCAGAACGGCTTCCAATCCCGTTGATTTCAAACGGAGAAAAATGGGAAGCTGGACATAATTATAAAGAAACCTGGCCTTTTAAAACATTATCGCATTCCTTGACTCCCAAATTTTTTTGTAGAGTTACATCCCAGAATATGAAACTTTTGCAGCATCTAGGACCTGTCATGCTACTCAAGGAAAGATGATCCTTGCAATTTTCGTTTCCAAAGGCATCAAAAGTCAAACTGCTTCAATAAACAACTGGTTTGAAGAGTTTTCAAGCCCTCGATCATTTCAAATAATAATCATGGAGTCTGCTGATTTTTCTGGATAGATGAGGTGAAGAGAGCTTCCGTAATCTCTGCGTAATCGCTGATTTTGACGGACAGACTCCAACCTCAACATGAGCTTGAAACGCCTTTAAACCACAAAACTCACTTTCCAATGTACGTGAAGTGATGTCGATTTATTCCATTGTCTACATGGAGATGCATCTTTTGCAACAACTTTTAGATTTTTTCTAGTGCTGCAGTTGCCATTTAGATCTGAAATACTTTCAACGAAAATTCTATGCGAGCTGTAGATTCAATATAATCACAAATCTCACTATTTTATTCTCTGTTTCATATCGCATTTTGCGCGGTAGCTGAGATTAGCAAGATTTTGAAGTTTCAAGCGGTTTCCTTTTCGTTTTCTTGATTTGAGTTGGATATGATTGTGCAGGGTGCTCGACTCAACTCTCAACGGATGACAACTGCAGCTGAACCAGAATGTGCAACCCCGAAATTTTTTCCTGACTAGGCACACAAGTTTATTGTTGTACGTGTATTGTTGCGGCTACATTGCAGCGTTTTCTGTAACTTGAAAATCGAGTTTTGTGATGCAAAAGCATGACAACCCTATGGTGAGGTTAGAGTCTGATTGTCAATATCAGCGAGGAGTTTACGAAAGCGCTCTTCACCTCATATATCCAGAAGGATCAGTAGACTCCATGATTATCATTTGAAATGAACAAGGGCTTGAAAACTCTTCAAACCAGTTGTTTATTGAAGCCGTTTGACTTCTGATGCCTTTGGAAACGAAAAATGCAAGGATCATCTTTCCTTGAGTAGCATGACAGGTCCTAGGTGCTGCAGAAGTTTCATATTCTGGGATGTAACTCTACAAAAAAATTTGGGAGTCAAGGAATGCGATAATGTTTTAAAAGGCCAGGTTTCTTTATAATTATGTCCAGCTTTCCATTTTTCTCCGTTTGAAATCAACGGGATTGGAAGCCGTTCTGAGGAGTTATGGTAGGCTTATATGCGCACCATACAGCAAAGTTTCAGACAGATTCACTGACAAGAACGAAAATTACGACGATTTCTAGAGTGTCTCTATAATTATGTCCAGCACTGTAGAAGGCAGAGGTATGATTTCTGATCGATCGATCAGAAGAGCGATCAAAATGGACAAGCGAGCTTTTGTAAAGTTAGCACTGAAATTGAGAAAATCTTAGCAGAAATGCACTGCCGATGAAGCCCTTAAGCCTTCCTTCCCTCGAGACCAAGCTCTCGCTTTGCTTCTCTGTTATAGGAGGCAGAGGTATAATTTTTGCGAAATATTGGGTTGTGAAGAAAGAATCCGGGCACTTTTGAAGATTTTATTTTATTTTTTGATGCATTTTTTTACCGCTCCGTCGGAACACCAAGTTTTTTATACTGTTCGGTAAAAGGAAGCCTAATCTTTTCGAAGCCGCTTCTAATTTTCATCAATGCCAACATGTACAATCTGCACGTCAAAAATAGAAATCTATCTAACCATGAAAATTTCACAATTTTTCTTCCTGCGGCTATTTTTTTGTGTTCATAGGTTTTCGTTCAAATCGTGTGTGATCCAATCGAAGAGACTGTTAGCTTCTGACCCGCAGCTGCACTCGAGTTTTGCGACATGCGCTCAGAAATTACAAGCTGTCAAACTTGCCTCTGACTACAACTATTTTCGCGCTGACATCGCTTCTGCGAGGATCGCCATTGGGTCCAAAAGATGTATAAGGATTAGCCCAACAATCTTCGCAAAAATCAAAAATTTGGTTCCTTCTGTGCAGAACGAAAAGACCAAAGTCACTTACTCGAAAAATGGTGCATTTATGAGGCAAAAAATGGTCGATTTCATAAGCTATCCGGAAAAACTAATTTTGCAGATAGTCGCTCAAAGGCGTAAGTAGTCTCCAAGATAGCACCAACAAACTTCCACATAACTACAGCATATGAGCTGTCCAGCTCTCATCATGCCTGAGATATTCTGCGCAAATTGGCCACTTTTAGCGTCGATCTTTTTCCCTTCTGCACATGCTGGTGGACCGCAGTGAGACGCTGAAAAGCCAGCAAGGTAAATATATGTTATAGATAAAATTGTCTTTGCAACGAATTTTGTAGCTTTAAAGAAGAATCAATCTGCTTGAAGTTACAGCGAAGAAGTCAATTTAAAATTTTTGCAAGTGCCCGGGAACTTTCTTTAAGACCTAATAAAAGCGGTCAAAAGTGGAATTTAAGCGAGATTTGTATAATTTAACATTGAAACCGAGAATTTCTTAGGAGAAATGCTTGCTGCTTGAAGCTCTTGGAACCTTTTATTCTTCGAGACCAAGGTCCTCCCTTTGCTTCTTTGTTATAGGAGGCAGAGGTGTGATTTCTGCGAAGTAAAAGCGGTTAAAAGTGAAATTCAAGCGAGCTTTTGTATAATTTAGCATCTGAGAAATTAGCGACAGAAATGCACTGTCGCATGAAGCTTCTGCAGCTTTTCTCCCTTCGAGACCAATCCGCCTATGCTTTTTTGATTTTTAAGGCAGAAATACGATTTTCGCAAAGTAGAAGCTGCCAAAATGGATTCCAAGCATATTTTTGTGAGAAGCCTGGAACCTGAAGAATTATACCAAAAATGACTGCGGCATGAACTCATTAGGTCTTTTATTTCTTTGAGACAAGCTCCCTCCGCTGTGTTGTTTTTACTGGCAAAAGTATGGTTCATTTTTAAAATCGTGACGACGAGTTGACTGCGGTCTTTCCGCACACAGAAGGATAAAACACCCATACAAACAGGCAACACCTCAACGCTAAGCTTAGTCACTTCCAGTATCTG